CCAATGTCCTTCTGCTACCTTAATACTAAACCTATAAATATAGGCACATAGATCTATTTCCCCATCCTCATATAAATATATTTGCATATGTGCATGTCTTTATCTAGCCCTCTATAGAGGCCTGGCTTTTCATAGTGGATTATGCATACTAATCTCAATTTATCAGAGACCTAATTTAGTTGAAGATTAACAGAAATTAAATAATTCGTTTAAAATAAACAACTAATATACTAATATGCAAATACAGTTTTATTACATAAATAAAAACAGAGTTAGAGACAACAAACCTTGGACTTATCCTAAACACAGACCCCACTCTAACCTCTAAGCTAAGTGATCTCCCTGATATCAGCACTGCGGTGTTGTACACAGGCCTCCCAGGCCTGGCAAGTCTTTACTCATCTTTATCGCCCTTTGTTAAAAAATAATAAATAAATAAACAAATAATAAGGGTTTCTGGGAGGGGGCAGAGAAAGGATACAAGGGACTTGATATCAAGTAGTTCAAGAAGAAAATGTTAAAGATTTGAAGGTAAACAAGCGGCCACTTAGCTAAGAAGCAACAAAGCCCACATGGAAAAAGCACACCAGCCTGTGTGAACACGAGGTGTCGATAGGATCAGGGATCAGGCATCAAAGAACAAAAAAATCATATCATTGTGAGTGAGGGGAGTAAGGAATGGGGACCCAAAGCCCATCTGTAGGCAACTGGACATCCCCTTATGGAAAGGTCGTCGGGAGGAGATGAGCCAGTCCCCGCGGGGGCAGTGTAGCAATGACGAAACACAACTTTCCTCTAGTTTTTTAAAAAATTATTTTATTGGGGGCTTGTACAATACTCATCACAATCTATACATACATCCATTGTGTCAAGCACATATGCACATTTGTTACCCTCATCATTCTCAAAACATTTGCCTCCCACCCTAGCCCCTAATATCAGTTGCTCATTTTCCCCGTCCCTCCCCTTGCCCCCTCCCTCACGAACCCTTCATAGTTCATAAATTATTACAGTTCTGTCATAAGTTACCCTATCCGATGTTTCCCTCTGCCCTCTTCTCTGCTGTCCATCCCCCAGGGAGGAGGCAATACTTAGATTCTTGTAATTGGTTTCCCCTTTCTACCCTGCATTCCCTTCACCCTCCAGGCATCGCCCCTCTCACCACTGGTCCTCTAGTTCTTAAATGCTTCCTCTTCCCCTCCACTATCATGATCCCAATTCTACCTTACAAATCCGCCTAGACAAGAGGATGTACACTGGTGCAGATGGGAAGTGGAAACACGGGGAATCCAGGACAGATGATCCCTTCAGGACAATAAGAGTGGCTAAGAGTGGCGATACCGGGAGGGTAGAGTGCAGGTGGGGTAGAAAGGGGGAACCGATTACAAGGATCTACATATAACCTCCTCCCTGGGGGACGGACAGCAGAAAAGTGGGTGAAGGGAGACATTGGACAGTGTAAGACATGACAAAATAATAATAATTTATAAATTATCAAGGGTTCATGAGGGAGGTGGTGGTTGGGAGGGAGGGGAAAAAAATGAGGAGCTGATACCAAGGGCTCAAGTAGAAAGAAAATGGTCTGAGAAGGATGGTGGCAACAAATGTACAAAGGTGCTTGACACAATGGATGTATGTACGGATTGTGATAAGAGTTGTACGAGTCCCCAATAAAATGATTAAATTAAAAACAAAAAGAACAAAGAAAATGTTCTGAAACTGATTGTGGTAGCAATTGTACAATACTACTTGATGAGATGGAACGATGGACTGCTATGATATCTGCAAGAGCTCCCAATAAAATTATTTTTAAAATAAATAAAATGCAAATGAAACATTGTTTGGAACAAATAAAGGTATTTAATGTTTCTCTTTAAAATCGTATCAAATGCATAAATTGCAAATGTTTGCATGAGTGACCTGTCTCACAGAGAAAACTATTTTCTATCTAACCTTGGACCGCTTCGTAATTTCTCAAAGTTACAAATTACCTATGGCAATAACTATATTATCTTATCGCAAATGCTTTGCTATAATTACTATAAGATATGTAGGTGATATTGCAATTGTGTGAACTGTTTATTAGTCTATAGCTCTCTTCATGGAAAAAGTACACAATTTAAAATTCAATTTTGTCACTATTGTAAAAAGTGCAGTACTTAGATGTTTTTTAAATAGCACATTCCATATATATATAAACCATTTTATTAATAAAACTTTTTTCCCAAAACTACGGGGGCGGGGGTGTTAGCCTTCATCTTGCCTTAATACAATTATTTTCCTTCTCATTTTGCCTTTTTATTTATTTTCCACATATATTTTAACAAAGCTGTAAACAGCATCTGACATACTCATTTGATATTTCATAAATATTTTTCCATATTGCTAAATGATCTTATGTCTGAATGAATGCTTAGCAATTCACCAAGTTGAAACATTATTACTGAATTATTGGGCTATTCTCATGCTAGTGAATATTTAAACACTTTCTAATATTATACTATAATGTCTACGGCCATACCACCCTGAACACGTCCAATCTCGTCTAATACTCTACTATAGTAAGAACATAAAGTATCTTTATAGGTAGGTTTCTTTATCCTCTTGAATAGCATGCATAGAGTTATAGGAATAACAGCTATGAAACTATTTGACAAAAATCTAAATTTTTCCTGTGAAACACTGTCAAATGGACTTCCAGAAAAGAATTGAGCAATGTACCAATTCTTTTTTTTGGGTACCAATTCTTAAGACCAATAGCAATGTACACAATATAAGCAATGAATATATCTTCTTGTGTACATAACGAGGGTTGGAACCTTTTTGGTATACATTTTTATTTAATTGCATTTATAACTTCTGTAATGACTGAAGTTTTAAAAAAGTCAACAAGTATTGGTGAGCAGTGGGAATAGTCAGAATCCTCATATACGCTTGGTGAAGTATAAACTGATTCAGCCACTCTAAAAATAATTTGTCAATGCCTAAAAAAATTAAACATACAGCTACCATCCGAATCTGAAATTTAACTCAAAGATATGCCTACATAAGCAACTGTACACAAATGTTCGGAGAATTATTGTATTATAACAAAGTAAAAATCCAAATATCCATCAGTGGTGAATGAATAATAAACAACATGCAGTACATATCCCCCAAAATGCAATGTTATTCAACCATAAAAAGAATGAAATTCTGATACATGTCACAAAGCACATATTAACCTTGGGAACATTATGCCAAGCAAAGAGCAAGACGTCAGCAGTCACACACTTTATGGTTCCATTTCCATAAAATGGGGAGATAGGCAAATCCACAGTGGTTGTCAGGGTCCGGTGAAACCAAACAGGGAGGGGCAGTGTGGTTTCTTTTTGAAGAATGAGAATATTCTGGAATCAGATAGTGGTGATGACTGCACAGCTATGTGAATATTTTAAAAACCATTGAATTGTACTTTTAAATAATTAATTTATAATGTCTGCACCTCAATAAAAAATACATATTTTAAAAATTTAAATTAACTACAATTAGGAAATGTAGTTTGCTCAATATTGTTACTTCATGTGACAAAAAGTAAGCAAATCCGTACTTTCTTGATGGAATTTATAAATGTGTAGAAAGCCAAATATGTCATTTACAGAAATGACATCCACCTACCACACATACAAATCACACACCAAAGAAACATTAAGAACATACGCAACGACGACCTTTCTGTCAAGAAGCTAGTTTGCTTTCCCTTTACCTCCATGGCTTCCTGAGCGATCTCTGGCATGTGTGACTGTGGGACCAGCTGGATGAGTCCTGTGATTAATTCTGCAGTACTGCCTTGGGTTTCAGGCCCCTGTTTTCTTGGATTCTGCAAGGAAAGATGAAACTCCAATTGAAAAATTATATATCAAAAGATAGGCTAAAAAGGAGAGAGTGAATTAGAAGGCATTGCAAACAAGTAGTCGTTTTTTCTTTTTTAATGGGCTAATACAAAATGTTCTAGAAGTAGATAGGGTTTATGGTTGTACAACATTGTGAATGTACTAAAATCCACTTTAAAATGGTGAACTTAAAGTATGTGAACTTTATCTACAATAGAAATAATTGTGGTAATTTTCCAAATAAAAACTATTTTAAAGAATAGAAATATTCTTTAATCCACATTTATACATGTTGATCAATGTAAGCAGTGTAAGGGGAAAGATTTTTTAAAATCCCACAACCAGGCATTCAATTTTCCATTAAGAAATTAAATCCATAACATGAGGTTACCCAGTAAACATAGTTTTGCAACAACCTAAAGTAGCTTAAACACTTCTGATTTAGAGCTCAATAGTTTTCATATTATAAATGATTGTGATCAAAGACAGACAACATGTGTGATGCCTAAAGGCTACATAATCATCCAGGACAGTCTCTCCATCCATGAAAAGCAGCTGCCCACACCTACACAACTAGAGCCAGAGGGAACGCTACACCCACAAGGCAGATATAGCTAGATTCAAATGTATTACCTTATCATTTAAGCTCCCTTTGGACCCACTTTAAAAGCAGCTTTTTAGTATTTTCTGCTTTCTCTTTGACTGAAGTTTTTTACGTTTTGTCTAGTCAATGTTGTTGGGGCTTTCTGTTTACTTTGTATGATTCTGTATGAATGTGCTTGCTTTGTATGATTTTCTGTATATGAAATTCACAATAGGTAGATACAGAAAGAGTAACTAGGATAGGGAAACGACAGGGGAGGATGAGGGATGTGGGGAGCTAACAACGGTGAGTATGAGAAGAAAATATTCTGAAATTGATTATGGTGTTGATTGCACAAATCTTAATATGATTAAATGATTAAGTTATATGATTCCACTTAAGAACATTTGTGCATGCTCACCTCCCCATTACATTCGCTGAAGACAAATGGGTGCATAAGCAAATGTGGTGAAGAAAGCTGATGGTGCCCGGCTATCAAAAGATACAGCATCTGGGGTCTTAAAGGCTTGAAGGTGGTAAACAAGCAGTCATCTAGTTCAGAAGCAACAAAGCCCACATGGAAGAAGCACACCAGCCTGTGTGATCACGAGGTGTTAAAGGGATCAGGTATCAGGCATCAAAGAACAAAAAATCCTATCACTGTGAGTGAGGGGAAGTGGGGCCCCAAAATCCATCTGTAGGCAACTGGACATCCCCTCATGGAAGGGTCGTGGGGAGGAGATGAGTCAGTCAGAGGGCAGTGTAGCAACGATGAAACATACAACTTTCCTCTAGTTCCTAAATGCTTCCTCCCCACCCACTATCATGATCCCAATTCTACCTTACAAATATGCCTAGACCAGAGGATATACACTGATACAGATAGGAACTGGAAACACAGGGAATCTAGGATGGATGATTCCTTTAGGACTAGTGGTGAGATTGGTGACACTGGGAGGGTGGAGAGAGTGGGATAGAGAGGGGGAACCGATTATAAGGATCTGCATATAACCTCCTCCCTGGGGGACAGACAAGAGAAAAGTGGATGAAGGAAGACGTTGGACAGTGTAAGACATGGCAAAATAATTTATAAATTATCAAGGGTTCATGAAGAAGAGGGTACTGGGAGGGAAGGGGAAAAATAAGGAGCTGATGCCAGGGGCTTAAGTGGAGAGCAAATGTTTTGAGAATGATGAAGGTAATGAATGTACAAATGTGCTTTAGATAATTGATGTATTTATGGATTGTGATAAGAGTTGTATGAGGCCCCAATAAAATGATTTTTTTAAAAAGAATGTTTGTGCATCTGAGCTAAAAATAATGAAGAAAAGAAGAAAATGTTCCAAAATTGATTGCAGTCATGATTGTACAACTCTTTTTAATGACTGAACTACCAAATTGTATGATGTGTGAATTATATTAATAACTGTTAAAAATGTAGCTTCCATAACTTCAAAGTATCTACTTACACTTCAAGAATATACAGCTCATTAAGGGAGGTCACTGCAACTTGTGTTCATATTTTATTCTGCTAACTATTGATTCGTCTCCATGACGATGATGAAGGTAAGCTCTCACCCTAATAAATCAGTAATCCAAAATTTTATGCTTATTTTGACTTTTGTTTGCATTCATTCAGAACTCAATATTTATTGAACAGCAAAGCCACAATTAAGAAAAAAATAATGTGCTCCCAACCCTATCCTATGTAATGTGCTGAAGAACAGAGAAGCCAAAAAAGTAATCAGACCAACAAGTATAAAATCGCAAATGCAATAGGAACAGAAAATGTACACTACTGGTGTAAGAACAGGGAAATAGGCCTAATGAGAGACCTCCTTGTTGTTGCTGCAAACTGTCAAATTGGAGCCACCATAGGGACCCACAGCACCTCAAAGTGAAACAGCGCCAGTCCTCAGCCATCCTTACATCACTCGTAGGTTTGTGCACAGTATTTCAAGCCACCATTATCAATCCACCTCACTGAGGGTCTCTTTTCTTGGCTGACCCTCGACTAAGCATGGGGTCCTTCTCCAGGGGCTGGTCCCACCTGACCATACATCCAAGCCTGCGAGACAAGGTCTCACTACCCTCACTACTAGGAGCATGCTGGCTGCACTTCCAAAACAAATTTGCTCATTTCTGACAGTCCATGGTATATTTAATGTTCTTCGCCAACACTACAATTCCAATGCATCAATTCTTATGATTCAGCTTTCCTTTCACGTGAGGTCATGAAAAATACCTTTGCTTGGATACCTTTACTTTACTCTTCAAAATAACACCTTTGTTTGTTAACACGTTTTTTTAAATCATTTAATTGGCGGCTCTTACAACTCTTGTTACAAACCATACATCAATTGTATCCGACATATTCGTATGTTAACACTTTAAACAGATATTTTGCAGCAGATTTGCCTAATGTAATATGCCACTTGATTCCATGGCTGCTGCTTCTATAGTTTTCAGCTGTGGATCTACATAATAGGAAATCCTTGACATTTCAATGTTTTCTCTGTCTAGCATGATACTGTTTATTGACCCATTTATGAGAATTTTTATTTGTTTGAAGTGTAACCAATATCGAAGGCTATAGTCTTTGATCTTCATCAATAAGTGCTTTAAGTCCTCTTCACCTTCCACAAGCAAGGATGTGTTATCTGCATATTGCAGATGTTAAAGAACTTTCTTCTAATCCTAATGTCATTCTTCTCCATGGTTCAGCTTCTATGATTATTTTTCGGCATACAGACTGAATAAGCAAGAAGAAAAGGTACAGCCTTGAAGCACACCTTTCTTGACTTTAAAACACTGGATCCCTTTGTTCTGCTCAAATGACTGCACATCGTGAGCTATACACAGGTTCTCCGTAGGACAATGACGACAAGATCCCCGGTGGCACAGTGGTTACGAATTGGGCTGTGAGCCACAAGATCAGCTGTTGTGAGGAAGAAAGATCCCTTCCAGGGGTTACTCCTCCCATAGGTTCACAGTCTCAGAAACTCACAGGGGCATGTCAACCTTGTCCTATCGGGTCACTTTAAGTCAGCATCAACAAGATGGCAGTGAGTTCTTTAGTGAAGCCAATGATGACAGCCTAGAATTAGCAGGAGTTCTATGTGAGACGGAAAGAAAATATACCCTAGGCAAAGGAGCGCGCAGTGCAAAGGTGAGACTGGGGGAATGTGGAAGGTAAGAGGGACTAAGAAAGAGGGCACTGTGACTAGAGTGAGGAAAACAGAAACAGGATGCTAATGTGGCAGAAGTAATAATTAGGAGTCAGAATTCACATAACCTTGTAGGACTATCTGGAATGTTTTAGTCTTTCTACCAAGAGCAATTTCAAGTAACCGATTTTAAATAGGGGTGTAATCAGGTTTCCTTTTGCAAACGATCACCATCACTTTGGTGCCCAGAAATGACTACAAGAAATTAAGAAAAAAAACACAAACTAAAGAAAAATGGAGAACAACAGAGATTAATACAGATATGGAAGAAACAGAAAAATATAAAATGGCACTATTTTTAAAATACCATGATTGAGGCTTAGTAATTCCTCCTATAATACCCCCATTTACTAAGATTTAGAATTTATATAAAATATGAAATAAATATTTACAATGGTTATTTCACCTATTTATCTATGGATACTTTGAAGGTCTCTGGTTGGCATACAAGGTTTTGTTTTGTATTATTAAAAAGTTTATATTTAGCATTAGCCAGTTTAGCTGATTCCAATTTTGATGACAATATCTAAAGTGTCATAGTCAGGAGCCAGTGGAGCATGTGCCTTCTTCTCACCGTCAGGCCTGATCAAAGTGTTGACCTTGGCTACATCAGTGTCATAAAGCTTCTTCACAGCCTGGTTGGTCTGGTGCTTCCTTGTTGGCCTTGACATCCACAGTGAACACAGGTGTGTTGTTGTCTTCGATCTTCTTCAGGGCGGACTCTGGTCAAGGGGAACTTGATGATGGCATAATGGTCCAGCTTGTTTCTCCTGGGGGCGCACTTTCAAAGGCATTTATTTGGGCCGCCTCCTTCTTAGTCTCAGGGTCTTGGGCTACCAGTAAGTGGGTGATGTGCGGATCTTCTTTTGTGTGTGTGGCTGTAGACGCTTTCAGCACGGCCTTCTTGGCCTTTAAAGCCTTTGGTTTGGCTTCCGTTTGGGGAGGGGCAGGGGCTTCCCTCTTTGCCTTTGTGCCACCTTCGTGAAAAGGCAGCATACAGTGTTCCTGCAAGGCTACTCACCTAAAGGTTCGCAGTTTGAGCCCACCCAGCAAGGGCTCCAGAGACAGGCCTGGCAAACTGCGCCCATAAAGATGACGGCAACGAAAGCTGTTTCAGGAGCAGCTCTACTCTGGACTGAAAGGGCCCTCCAGGGGGCAGGGAGCACTAGAACTGATCGTGGTCACACAACTCATTTTAAAGGTGATGTAGCCATTGGGGGTGGGGAGGGGAGAAGAGGCCGCAGATGGGGTATGTTATAAATTGATTGTGATAATGGTTATATATGGTCCTTGATATGACTGAACAGTTGAACTATTCATTGTATGATATGTGGATTAGGTGCCAATAAAAATGTAAAATAAATAAATAAAGCTGTGCCAACCTAAAATAGGTGGGGTGGGGCACACTTCGAGAACTGGAATCCACTCTAAGGACAGCAGGTTTTGTTTTTAAGTGTGTTACTTCAAGAAAAAATATTTAACCACTAGATGGCAGCATAGAAAATAATTTCAATTTTAAACGACCCTTTCTGCCTACTAAATAGCAAACTTGAAAAATAGCACGTTTTGTTTAAACTTGTGCTTTTTAGACAGCAAGCTATGTAACACGAAAGGTACTGTGACTCTGGCACTCTGCCTGAACTTGAATTATACGCATAAAAAAAGAATGATGGTAGTATATTATTATAATCAACACAAATAACATATATTACAATACAAATGTGCAGAAAAGGTATTCGCCACTTTTACCATTTTATGCATAAGTTCTTGATGCTAAAATTCTAATTACTGAATCTATTAGATTCATCACATGCACAAATTTATATGCGCTTTTCAATGGACCTCTTGGGAATCAAATTTGTCCTTTCTCCAGTTAAAAAAAAAAAGTACTACACGTGTTATTTTTTCTTTTAAATTTGAGTTTGTTCACAAAACATTTAGAGGGCAACGCTGCTTGGTCTTGCAAAATCGTTAGGCTTGGGCCTAACTATCCTCAAAATTGTCGTAGCCACTGGGCAACCATCTCGTTAAGGGGCTTCCTCTTTTTTGCTGACCCTCGACCAACTATGGCAGCAAAGAAAATCAGCTCCATTTAAAATGATTATCTTCTGATACACATGTCCAAAGCAGGGGCGACGGACTCTCATCCTCCGCTACGCGTCCTGGCTGCGCCTCTTCACAGGCTGACTGGTTCGTATTTTCGTTGCCAACAGTATCATTTCAAAGACATCAATTCTTCTTCGGTCTTTCTTTTCTATTGTCCAGTTGTTGCATGCATAAGGAGACTGAAAACATGGCTTGCATCTGGCTCCTTTAGTCCTCAAAGTGAAATTTTTGCTAATAGTTTTTGCTAAAACGTAGGACTTTTGCAGCAGGTTTGCCCAAAGTAATTTAACGTTTGATTTCTTCACTGCTGTTTGCTTTCAGGAGCATTTATTGTGGAGTCAAATAAAATGAAGTCCTTTGCAACTTCGATCTTCCCTCTGTTTATCGTGAATGCTTACTGGCCCAGCTGCGAGAACGTTTGTTTTCTTTACATGAAATTGTTATTTAGACTGAAGGCTCTTGTCTTTCATCTTAACCATTAAGTGCTTCAAGTCCTCCACACAGTTGAATGCCTTTGCATAGTTAATAACAAGTAAACACTGTTTTGGTATTCTCTGCTTGCAGCCAAGACCCATCTCATGTCGGCAAATCACACAATAGGATACTAACCAAACCCTCACTGCCACTCCGTCGGTTCCAACTCATCGTGACCCTACAGGACAGAGCAGAGCTGCCGCTGAGATTTCCAGTCATGGTTTCAAACTGCTGACCCTGCAGTTTAGTGAGTTAACGCGTAACACACTTCGCCACCCCAGGGTTCTGCCACCACCAGGACTCCTCATATCACCACTGTATTCCTTCTGTATGCTAAGAAAATGGTTTAGGAGAAGCTGGGGACTGTATGAAGAAGGATGCAGCATCAGGGTTGGAGAAAGGCTTAGGAACAGTGTGTGAAATGAAGATGCCACAACTGCTTGTTGAACATGAAAAATACTTGAAGCATTTTACTGGTGGATGATCAAAGACTATTGCTTTCAATGTGGATTGCAACTTATTGTGCAGAAAACCAAAATCCTCCCATAGCGAAGGAAGATCGAAGATAGTAACACTTCATCTCACTTCCTTCAGACATGGCTTAACTCCGCTGAGACAGAGAGAACAGCTGTGACAATAAAGGATTACTAACCACACCCATTTTCATCTTCTCCTCCTTTTAATTTGCAATTGAGAGGCCATGATACTAGATGGCTGACACTAAAAAGACAGAGAAAAGAAAAACTAGCAATAGCAAGTAGAGATTTACAAAATCCAAGAAGAAGTGGAAAACACTATGATTTATGATGCCCGAATGAACAATAAACAGACTGGTAAGAGTGTAAGGAGAGAAGAGCTCACTCAGAGGATGTCAGTTTAATGAGAAGGAAAACTAAGAAGAAGAGCTAGGACACCCAACTGAGTTACGTTTGTATGCTCTATGAATTTGTTTTCTTAGGGATAAACCTTAGGTTTCAGATACAATCAGAAAGAGTCAGTAAGTGCTCGGCATTTCGAGTATAACAAATTAATTCTGTGTAACAGTTGAAGAGCATTTATTTCATAAAACGTACTTACACAAAGCAGAAGCTTAGGGTCTGCATGAATTAATTTCACCATAGACAACAGAAGATACTTATAACTCCTGGTCTCCAAGTCTGTAGGTTTTTCTTTAAATTTAAGGCTTGTTACTTTTTCTTTAAATGTAAGACTCTAAAAACAAAAACAAAATGTAATATCACCTTGTAAAAATCATGTCTCAGATTCAGAATAATAATGAGCCAACATTTTAAATCTGTTGTTTTAAAAAACAGCTTTGGAAATGCAAACACAACTATTTATACTAACAAGTGTGTGGTATTAATGCAAATTTGCCATATTTAAGGATAAGATTAATATTCATAGGTATAAAAATTATTATTTTTCACTTTTTAATTTAAATATAATCTTATAAAATTTAAGGGAAAATCTATTAATGTACTAATGGCTCTGTAAAACATAATTTTCTAAAACGTGAATATACTGGCAAGCAAGCAAACATTTAGTCTACAGTCTCATAAATACATACATTGGGCAGTTCACTTAACAAACACCTCAAATACAAAAGCCACTATTTTATAGAATCTAAGATATTATCAATTATAAGACCCGTTATTTTATATACTTATAGGGAATAAAAAATTTCAATAGTAAAACACTCATAAAAAGTAACACACATCCCTTTCAAGTAAAAATATGTGCTTCAAAAAGTTGATGAATTTATGTTATATAGCTCATCTTTGTATTTAACATTTTAACTGTAATTTTTGCTTTTTCCTTTCTCAGCATTCCATCTCGCTCAAGTTACAGAATGCCTTTGGCCTGAATAACATTCATAAACCAGAGAAAGAGCTCTTTGAGAAAGATTAAATCATGGAAAATGTGTTTCAACTACGGAGACACTGTGGTGAGTTAAACTAACTATATGAATGTTTTCTAACAAAGAAAAGAATCCGACTGTATTCTAAATAGAATATCACTTTTTTCTCTATTTTTCCGCTTCCGACTTTTGTATCCATGCCTTTAATTCAGCAGATGGGTAAAAGAACATCAAGTTCAACTTATACTCGAGCAGTTAATAATCTGCATATAAAATAAAAGCAGTGAGTATTCAAGCCAGTCTTTCAAACAGAAAAAGTACACATGCATATTTTTTTACAACACACAGCAGCTATTCTCAACACGAAGTATGAGAAATGAATGTGTTATGTCCAAGAACAATGAGAGTTTTTGATCCTCAGATAAGACTGGCTAATGGGCACATTTACTGTAAGAATGACACAACAGAAAAGAAACAGTAAAAATTATAAATAATGTTTACTTTTATATTTATATACCCACGGCAAATGTCTTACCCAATGTATTTATATACCCACGGCAAATGTCTTACCCAATGTATTTAATACATCATTTTTATTTTCACTATAAGTCACGGTAACCCTTTCAAACTGGACACATTTATTAACTAACACATAACTAAATGTTAGCCACCACTCAACTGCTACCCCCTGATCCAGGAACAATTAGCAAACGTAAAAGTTATTTTCTATTCAGTAACTATTCCTAAAGAGTAACTATTTTACTGACATTACCTTTTTTATCATAGGTACCAACATAATACTTTTGTTATGGCATAAGAGTCTAATATGGAACATAAGTCTTCAATTAAAAATATTTCAATTATATATTTTAATTTACTATTAGTGTTTTATATAAATGTATATATAACTTTCTAAAGAGATGTCATTTCTTAATTACAAATATAAGGCAATTCATTAATTAACTAGTCTTCCATTTTGCAGATGCTTGCAAGAATCCAGTTTTGTTCCAACTGACACAGTTGAGTGATTTTGCATAGTTAATAAAACATACGGAAACATATTTCTGATATTCTCTGCTTTCCGCCAAGATCCAACAGATGCCAGTAACGGTATCTATCCCTCCTGTATTTCCTCTTCCGAATCCAACTTGAATTTCTAGCAGCTCCCGCTCATGTACTGATACAACTGTTTTTAAATTATCTTCAGCAAAAACTTACTTGCATGTGATATTAATATTTTCGTTAATTTCTGCACTGTTGGGTCACCTTTCTCTGGAATGGGCACAAACATGGATCTCTTCCAGTCAGTTCGCCCAGTAGCAGTCTTCCATATTCCTTGGCATAGATGAACGAGTGCTTCACCAGCTGCTAGAACATTTTAATGGCCTTCTGTCAATTCTGAGGGCCTGGTTTCTCGCAAAATTTTTCAGTCAGCTTGAACTTGTTTCTTCAGTATCATAGGTTTTTGATCATCTGCTACCTCTGGACATGGCTGAATGCCGACCAATTCTTTTTAGTACATTGACTCCGTTTATTCTTTCCATCTACTTTTGATACTTCCTGCATCATTTAATTACTTGCCCAGAGAATTCAAAACTGCAACTTGAGGCCGCCTGTTTTCTTCAGTTCTTTCAGCTTGAGATGTGGTGAGCAAGTACTTCCTTTCTGGTTTTCTAACTCCAGGTCTTTGAACATTTCACCATAAAGCCTTTCTTCTTGAGCTGCCCTTTAAAAATTTCTATTTCGCTCTTTTAGTTCATTGTCTTCATCTGCTTTGGCTAATCTAAATTCAAGAGAAAAATTCAGAGTTCCTTCTGACATTCACTTTGATCTTTTCTTTCTTTCTTGTCTTTTTAATGACCGTTTGCTTTTTTCAGGTGGGATGCAACTAATGGCATCTCACAGTCCCTCGGGTCTTCCGTTGTGTTCAATGAGATGTTCTCTAAATGCAAGTGGGATATACTCAACTGTGTTCCTGCTCTCATGGGCTTATCTCAATGTTCCTCGATTTCAACTTACAGTTGAGCACTAAATCATCTTTTCTACAGTCAGGCCCTGTCTTCATTTTGGCCTCTACTATTTAGCTTCTCCATTTCCTACAGATGCAGTTAATTTGATTTCTGTATATTCTGCCTAGTGCAATGCATGGGTATAGTCACTGTTCATGTTGTTGAAAAAGGGAATTCAAGATGAAGAAGTTTTGGGTTTTGCAAAATTCTGTGTGATCTCTAGCTTCACGTCTATCACCAAGTCCCTATTTTCCAACTGTGGTAACTTCCTCTTTGTTTCCAACTTCTACATTTTAATCGCCAATAATTATCAATGCATCTTGATTGAATGTTTGATCAATTTAACATTGAGAGTGCATACATTTTTAAATTTTTTCCTCACTCCCTTTAGTGGTCTGATGCATAAATTTGAATAACAGTTGCATTAACTGGGTTTCCTTGTAGATGTAAAGATATTATCCTACCACGTGTAGCACTGTACTTAAAGACAGCTCTTTAAATATTCCTTTGGATGATGAATGTGAGACTATTCCTCTTGAAAGTTGTCATTCCCAGCCATCCCCAAACCATATAATAAACCATATGGTTTTCTGATACAGAATAGCTAATTATCAGTCCATTTCAGTTCAACAATGCCTAGGACATCTATCATTCCGCATTCCATTTCACTTTTGATCTTCAATTTTCCTAGGTTCATATTTCATACATTCTACATTCCAATTCATAATGAACATTTGCATCTGTTTCTTCTCATTTTGAGTGGTGAGCCACCAGCAAGCAAATGACGGTCCCCAAAACTGCACTTTAAATTTTATTTCATATACCTAGTTTCCTACATGTCACATTCAGCATTCAATGAGTACAATATGCATTCATGTGAATATTCACTCTAACCCAGGAGTCAACTTCCTTTACTCATCACAAAAGGAGCTAATCAAAATATTTTCATTGTTAAAAAGAAACTAAATGAAAAAACTAAGTTCAGCTCACTGAAACAGTGAAAAACAAATTATCACCAACTAAGCACTGCAGTAATATTTCAATATACAATATACCCAAAGATTCATAGACAATAAGATAGAACTCATTTGGTTTCCTAAAATAACCAAAACAGCAGGCACAGGATGAACTACACTAAAAATGCAATAGGAAGACAGTAAAATTGAAAACTTAAGAGCTTATCTTACCGGCGCCATTCGTATAGCTGGGTGTGCTCCGCAACCCTGCACAGCTTTATGAAGTGTTTCACCAAACATATTTCGAAGTTCAACTGAGTGACAATAAACAGCATCAATCTTCGGCCACCAATCCAATGCAGACTGGAGATAAACAGAAATATCATAAAGAAGAAAAAAGCAGAAATTTTCATGAGTTATATGCTGTTATTATCACTCTGGATTTGCATGTTGGCCATTGGTCAGAAACTCCTAAGACCATGCAAACACACATGGTAATTGCCAAAGTCTTCAAATGATGTGTCTGATTCAGACAATAAGCCACACAAGTATGTTCCAGTATAATAAGGAGCATGAGACAAACATCCCACTTCATGAGCACATGTGAGACTGGCTTTTCTCATTGGAAAGCTAATGAATCTGAAAAATGACGTCTTTGGAGAGCTAATTATATAGAGCCAATCTTTTTCTTTCTCCAAGTTTAATGTTTTACACAGTTCATATAGTCTATCTTTCCTAACATAAGAATGCTAGTAGCAAAGCTTTAAAAGAGATTAGTGGTTCAACACAATGTTCAAAAAACATGTGACAAACCAATACTTGTATGTTTATAAACAATGATAATTACAACATGAGATTAGTAAATGAGATAATGCTATTAGTCAATCTACAAATTGCTCTATATGGATGGCATAATACATGGACGACTAAAAATCACCATAAGCAAAGATAAACTGACCTGAGGCAGATATTTTCTAAAATAAAATAATTTTAAACTAAAATTTTTCTATTTTGGTTTAATTTGTTGGCTTTGATGTCTACTTTTGTTTTTGTTTTCTTTTTTTATGTCTACTTTTCAATGCCTACTTTATTTCAAAGTATAATTATTTCTCTAAAATGAATAAATAAATATTATGAAAAGACAAAAATCACTAAATCTACAAAGTTTGATAAGTTAATGTGAAAAAAATTGATGAATTTTTCAAAATATAGAAAGCGTGCTTAGAAATGGATGAGTTGAAATTCAGGCTTCCTACTTATTCAATCTCTGCTATAAAAAACATCTGTAAGAATAACAATATTAAATTTAAGAAAAAGAATGATAATATTCAAGTAGTAGGTGAGAGTTAAGTGGGGATTTAATACTTACACCCTAATCCGAGGTTCCTTATTAATCACCACTAGTTAAATCCTCAACATTTAATTTCTTCACACCAATTTCCAGAATGTTTTGAGTATACTTAGTTTTTTTATCATAAACTAAAACTTGTGAGGAAGGAAATACATTTCTGGAATAGTATGATTGTTTATGGTTTTCCCTCAACTTTCATGTTAATTAACTAATTTCTAAACATATGATAGATTTTAAGCTTGGTAACATAATCAATTTCTCAATCCTTGGGAAAGTTGGTTACTGTCCAACAAACTAGAAAAATTTGATTTCTAGGCATTTACTCTTCCCAAACAGCTTGTTACTAGCTTAACTAACACAGAGCTAAATAATCCTAAGTGCACTGTGCAAAGGGCCCATCAACCTGCCAAGCAACCCCATATTTTGTCAGAAGCTAATTAGCTAAAGACATATGCATCCTATCAAACATCCTCTGCAAATTACTGTTATTTACATTCAATACTACTGTTGAAACCATACTGTGGTACCAGGTCTACTTTATAAAATCATTTTAGAGTTTATCTTATATAATTGGTAATAATTTTAGTATACTACTGTTCTTTTTGAGCAGTTACAAACGTGTCATTTCAAAAACCAAAGTACATGTGTTATGTTTGCCCTTGAAAATACTAGGTTTATTGCCAATAAATTAGCATAAGGACATAATATGAAGCGTTCTATGGGGGCAATTCTTCTAGAGAACATCTAAGTACATTCTCAAATGCCTCAGACACAATTCCTCCAACTAGAACACCTCTGGAGAGAAAGAGAACATCTGATTCTCAACATATGAACTATTCCTAAGTTAAAGATGATCAACTGCTATGAATAAAATGGAGACCACTTTGTGCCAGTCATAGCAGGTCCAGTGAGGACTAGGATATTTAGCTCATACATGCATATACTATTTTTTAACTTCCCAGTTACTGTCTGTGTTTGTGTGTGTGTGTGTGTGTGTGAATGTAAAGATGTCCCTCATTATTGATTACATAACATAGACCTGCTAACTCTAATTTCTCTTATATGAAGGGATTTCAAAAAATCTGTGAAAAATTCCCATTATCTTTCAATTCCCACAAGTTTTTGAAGCTCCCCTCACTCCCAATATATGTCACAATTTTTAAAAGGTGACATTATTATGAATCATTTTAGAAACTGCTAAAAACTGACATGATAAAAGTACATTAGTTAACAGACTTTCCGACTTTCTAAGAAGAAATGGTAGAACAGTCAACATCTAAACATAGTACTTATAAATTAAGTATGTGTACTTTACAAAAGCCAAAATTCCAAACACTAATAGTATTTCTACTTAAATTCACAAAACACGTTAAGACTTATATCTCACTTAAGAACACAAATTTGAAACATCTGTGAACTGCCTAAAGAACAATGAAAGAGAAGAACTAATGAGGTGTATTGAACCAAGAATCATTTAGAAGGAGATCTTACACATGAATGAATTAAGATTTGGAGTCCAAATAGCCAAGAAAAATTTTATGTCATAATAACTGTTCTTCAGTTAGGCTCTTCGTAACAGTCAATTCTATGAATTTACAGATTTATCTTATAGCTCTGACTTTTTAGTCAGAAAGTACTTCAGATTCAATATCAATATCCAACCAAGAGTGGGTGCAGGGCAAACGAGTAACAATCTATAACAATAAAGCATCACTGTATGACGTATAACTTTTAAAGACACTTTCTAAACTCAATAAATTTGTATATTTACCAGTATTCTATTTTATTAGTAGTGATGCTTAAGATTTTAGAAATCAGTCACGAGTATTTTTAAATAAAAGTTTCATATTGACCTGGCCTCTGACAGAGACAAAGTACACCTTCCCACATGCAGTACTCATGATAGTCTAGAAGGACGCACAACCGCTCTCACCAGGTCCACTGAGGCATGCATGAAGTAACTCAGGCATGCTTTACACCAGAAAGGAGCAGCTCAGCCACTTACAGCAGTGCCAAGTCCATGCTTGAAAGTGCTCTATATAGTCAATTGTAGACAAAAATATTCCACAATTAAAGTAGCTAGCCACAAAGTACCAAAACATTAAATAATTGGGTTTACAACATACAAAATATAAGCATTCATATACAATTAGTCATCCTAATAAATAGAATATTTTATGTAGCATGAGCCAAAGGGGCTAAGAAAATACCATTTTTTTCTGAATTATATATAAATCTGGGATGGGAAAACCACCTTTTAATTTTTTTAATGACTTGAAAATAATCCTCAAAGTACAATGTTCTGCCTTGTTTGCCCAACCAATCAGCTGCCAGTGACTCAACTGGACTCCAGGTGGCCCATGTGTCTCAGAGTGAACTGGGCCCCAAGGATTTTCACTGCTTGGTTCTCTCTGAAGCAGATCACCACAACAGTCTTCTGCAGTGCGTCTGGGAGAACTAAAACTGCTAACCTTTTCACTAACAGTTGAGCATGTTAACCATCTGCACTACCCACAGATAACCCGGCTTCACTACAACGACAAAAAGAGTCATTTAAAAAAGTTAATACAAATATATTTTACCTATAATCAAATTAATGTAACTTTCCCTTTGAGAAGACAAAGTTTTTAATGTCCTTTCTACCTACCTACAATTTAATCAGTGATGTTCAACTGAGGGTGCTATCATGCCCTCCTAGCACTTATTGGAAATATGTTTGTGGCTGTTCATAATCACTGGGGAGGGTGGGTTTGCAGCCCAATGAGAATTTAATGAAATGAGGACCAGGGGTGCTGCCTACCCTCCAATGTTCAGACGAATCATGCACAGCAAAGAAGTGCCCTGCTCCCCAATCCAGGAAGCCCACTGAGCAAAACTAAATGTGTCACAAAGTAGTCCTTACCCTTAATTATTTTCTCTTGTAGGTATGGTTTAAAGCAGGCGTCCTCAAACTGCGGCCCGCTGAGGACATTTATCCGGCCTGCCGGGAGTTTTTGCCCCATTTGTTTTTTTACTTCAAAATAAGATCTGTGCAGTGGGCATAGGAACTTGTTCATAGTTTTTCTTTAAACTATAGTCCGGCCCTCCAACGGGTCTGAGGGACAGGGAACTGGCCCCTGTTTAAAAAGTTTGAGGACCCTGATTTAAAGAGTGTGTGGGCAGCACTTGGCTTAATTCAATATATCCAAAGCAAATGAGGGTGAGGTGGCTATTTTTACCTCAGCAGACACACTCTTAAAATGTAAGTTTATCATAAACACCAATATACCCATAGTTATCAATAACTAATAGCTCTTTTTCAAGGAAAGTAGTTTTCCAATTTATACATAAGTGTGAATACCTTTGTAAATAGATAAAAGTGAAATTATGGAAGACAGTGCTTGAGAATCTTCAAAATATAACTGTTAATCATTACAAAATTTCTTAAACCCACTGTCCAAATCTTAATACAGTTTTACTATCTCTCTGCCTAATGTATCCAAGTCAGCTCAAAGGGTCCATAAGTACCTTGCAGTGCCTGACATGTTTTTGTATCACATGGATACCTCCCCTCCTCTGAAGTGTGTGAGTTTCATTTTGTTTGAGGACTGAAAGGGAAATCAAGTATGGTCTTATCATTTTGTAAATGGACTGTATTTAGTAACTGCATAAATACTACTCACTAGAGTGGCGACACCAGGAGGGTGGAGTGGAAAGGGGGAACCAATTACAAGGATCTACAAATAACTTCCTCCCTGGGGGATGGACAACAGAAAAGTAGGTGAAGGGAGACATCGGACATTGTAAGATATGACAAAATAATAATTTATAAATTATCAAGGTTTCATGGGGGGGGAGCGGGGAAGGAGGGGGGAAAATGAGGAGCTGATGTCAGGGGCTTAAGTGGAGAGCAAATGTTTTGACAATGTTGAGGCAATGAATGTACAAATGTGCTTTACACAATTGATGTATGTATGGATTGTGATAAGAGTTGTATGAGCTCCTAATAAAATGATTTAAAAAAAAATACTACTCACTATTTTTAAACCTAAATGGTTAAAAAAGGTGACAAGTCAAATTGTATCAAATGCTGAGGAAGGGCTTAGAGTATTAAAATAATATGTAAAGAGTCCTAGAATGAAATATTTTCAGTGAGGTGATTCTTAAGAACATTTGAGATAAAATATTTTAGGTTAATCTCTCGAAAGGATCCTAATTTATCCTAACTTCACATAATAAGGACTTTAGGTTGACATTAAATACAAAAAATACAACTCTATCAGTTTACCAAATACAGCGACTTCTGAGAAAACTCCCTAGATCATCTATCTTCAGAACCAAGAGCACCTTTCTTTTAAAGGAGGAGGGGATATATGGGGAGGGCAGGAGGGGGAGAAAAGGGGTTTCTGTTTTTTTAAACTAATATAGCAATACCTTTTAGACTTACATTGGTGATAATTCGATGGAGTGAATTTACCAGCACATAGTGAAATGTAGAAGGAGAATTCTGAGCGAGACAGATCTACAAAGGAGTAAAAAAGGAGATAATTTCTATAAGAAAAAAACCCAATAACATAAGTGAGAACACAGGACTGCAAAAAGATACATTTTTTAAAAGTATGAAACTAAGAAAATCAACATCATTGAGAAATATTAATATAAGAATAATTTTTTAGCTTTTCACATTTATAAAAGTTATCAACATTAGTAAACATACTTGGCTAAAAAGCAATGCTCTCACCTTAAAGTGTTGGTTGTTGTGCGGGCTTATTCGAAAGCAAGAGACAAGGCAGTCTATCATTAGATCGACATCTGCTGTCTGGCTGCCTCTTGAGAATGGTTTACTCGGATTAAAAAGTAAGTTCTGTAAAAATCCCAATAGAAATGAAAGACTTTAAACAGTCACAGTTATTTTTTGGTAACTAGCACTTACAAACACGATGGTCCAAATGGATAGGAGTAACATTTAATTGCTAGAAAAAGCACCAAATTAATATTTTGAGTTGTCAGTCGGACAGAATTCTTACTATACCACATGCAATTCCTTACAGGCCATATCTGCCCTACTCATTTAAATGCAAGGCTGATTAATTATGCTAACGTAAGAAAACTAGTTTCTATATCCCAATTTGGCATATGGTGACAGGTCTTGAAAGTTCAAGAGAAGTCACTTAAGGTACAGCCAATAGTTTCTCTCCATCGAGAGGAAAGAAGAGAGACAAAAACCAAGACAGAAGGAAGCAATTGGCTCAATGGATGAAAGGACTACACAAACATCATTCTCCACAACCCTGAGACCAGAACTCAATGGTCCCCAGCTACACATTAGAAATCACATGAGAGTCACATGAGAAAGTCTTGAATAGAGTGGGTAGAAAAATGTGGACCACAACTCAAAAATCATAAAAGAGACCAGACTTACTGACCAGACACTGATTGGTGGGACACGCCCCCTCCCCAAGACTATGGCTCTTTCCTTTCAGGTCAGGAACTGAACTCACTACTGTGTCAAAATAACTCTCTAGGATCAAAAGGGCAGGATTCAGTCAAAGAGGAAGTTCAGAGAGTTGTAAAAGGGGATGAATGGAACAGGAAGCACAGACAAAGCAATGGTATATGGAGGGGATTTCAACGACCAGCTGGATCAGAATGTGCATATATGTTACTGAAGGCAAAACTGATCTTCTCTGTAAGCCTTCACCCAATTCACATGAAAAGGGTTAAGAGACACAGACAATGAGTTAACTGCTTTCACAGTTTAAGTCACTTTCTTTAGTCTGATGAACAGAGTAATAACAAAAGCCAAGTCCTACAAAGTTATTTTCAAGTAAGACTCAAAACTTCAGTGTTTGCAATGATCTTAAACATAACACTAATGCTAAAAGCGAATTTTCTTAAGTTTATAGTGGATAATATTAAACATCTTACCTTAAGATCAACCACCATGGACTGAACTAGCAAGAAAATTACAGAGTTATCTTCCCAATTGATATAAGTACTTGCTTTACACAGTTTGACACAAGCAATCGCAGCACTCTCTGTCAGCTGCCTGCTTCCTCCGTGGCCAGCAAGCGCTTTTCGTAGGCTGTCCAGAAACAACTTCTATAGAATTCAAGCACAGTAGTAAGACAGACTATGAAGTATCTTAGATTTCAGATTTATCTAATAAAGTCACAAATTATCAGCCGCTATACATATGATAATTATTTTTCAATTTCATAATTTAACTCTAAAAACAAGGTATCGTTTATCCACTCTTGATGAATGACACCAAAGAAACTTGAATACAGCCCTTGCCAACCAAAGTAGTTGACGCTCCATATTTAATTCAATTGATCGTGTTTTTTGAAGATTCTCTTTTAATCTTCCCTATTATATACAGTCGAAGCATTATATTATGTAATGCTTCTTGCATGATCTGCTCAGCATACAGATTGAAGTATGGCGAGAAGATACAACCCGGACACACTTCTTTCCTGATTTCAAGCGAAGTATTATTCCTTGTTCTGTTTAAAGGACCCCCTTTTGGTCCATAGGCAGGTTCTAAACAAGCATAAGGAGGTGTTCTGAAATTCCCATTCTTCTCATTCATATCCATATTGCTACAATCTACAAATGCCCGTGCATAGTTAATAAAGCACAAGTAAATATCTTTCTAGTATTCACTGCATTTAGCCAAGATGCGCCTAACATTAACTATCATATTCCCTTGTGTTAAGTCCTCTGCTGAGTCCAGCTTGAACTTCTGGCGAACTTCCTGCTCAGTGTACTTTTATAAGTGACCTTGAATTATCTTCAACAAAACTTTATTTCCATGTGACATTAATGATATTGGCTCAATAATTTCCACGTTTTGTTGAGTCGTCTTTCTGGGAAACAGGTACAAATATGGATCTCTTCCGGTCAGGTAATCATTGTTTCCAATGCTTTATCAATTTCTTGAAACAAAATCCTTGGACAGTTTCTAAAAACCCAGATTGCTTGCTGGTCTTATTCCAAGAGTTTCTGACACAGTAGACCTATGGTTGGGTCGCTATGAGTCGGACTGACTCGATGGCAGTGGGTTTGGTTTTTTGGGTTATGGTTGATGGGCTTAGAAATGTGCATTTTCAGTTTCCAGATGATGCTGACCGGGTCTAAAGATCACTCGGAGTACCACTAATCCAGGAATCTACGTATCCATCTCTTTATCAATCCCACCATAAAAATCGGATTGGAAGAATATACACAGAACTCCTGACAATTATCTCTGGAGAAGAACAAGCAAAAATGGAACTAATGGACTCAGAGAAGTCTTGAGTTTCATCTGTTGCTTTAAAAAAACAAAGTTTATGCCAGTGTTAACTTGTATAAACTTTTTATTAAAAAGTACGTAGATTTTTTTTTTTGCAAGGGAAATATTTTAATTTTCTGGGTTACTTTTTCTCTATTTACTGTGTAGGAAGATTTTCAAGGTAGGTGTCTATTCAAACCTTTTTTCTTTTTCTTTTTCAAATAATTCTATTGGGGGTTCATACAGCTCTTACAATCCATATACACATCCATTGTGTCAAGCACATTTGCTGTCATCATCATTCTCAAAACATTTGTTTTCTACTTGAGCCCTTGGTATCAGCTTATTTTTCCCCTCCCTCACGAACCCTTGATAATTTATAAATTATTATTTTGTCATGTCTTACACTGTCCGATGTCTCCCTTCGCCTACTTTTCTGTTGTCCGTCCACCAGGGAGGGGGTTATATGTAGATCCTTGTGATCCCTTCTCCCTTTCTACCCCACCTTCCCCTTACCCACCTGGTATCGCTACTCTCATTATTGGTCCTGAGGGGTTTAACTGTCCTGGATTCCCTGTGTTTCCAGTTCCTATCTGTACCAGTGTACATCCTCTGGTCTAGCAGGATTTGATAGGTAGAATTGGGATCATGATAGTTGGGGTGGAGGAAGCTTTAAAGAACTAGAAGAAAGTTGTATGTTTCATCGTTGCTACACTGCACCCTGACTGGCTTGTCTCCTCCCCAAGACCCTTCTATAAGGGGATGTCTAGTTGCCTACAAATGGGCTTTGGGTCTCTACTCTGCACTCCTCATCATTTACAATGATATGATTTTTTTGTTCTTTGATGCCTGATACGTGATCTCGACACCTCGTGACCACAAAGGCTGATGTGCTTCTTCCATGTGGACTTTGTTGCTTCTGAGCTAGATGGCTGCTTGTTTACCTTCAAGCCTTTAGGATCTCAGACCAGGGGTCCTCAAACTTTTAAAACAGGGGGCCAGTTCACTGTCCCTCAGACCCGATGGAGGGCTGGACTATAGTTTAAAAAAAAAAAACTATGAACAAATTCCTATGCACACTGCACATATCTTATTTTGAAGTAAAAAAACAAACGGGGTAAAAACACACGGCAGTTGGGATATATGTCCTCGGCGGGCCGCATGTGGCCCGCAGCCTGTAATTTGAGGACACCTGCCCCAGACGCTATATCTTTTGAAAGCCGGGCACCATCAGTTTTCTTCACCACATTTGCTTATGCAGCCACTTTGTCTTAAGCAATCGTGTCGGGAAGGTGAGCTTCATGGAATGCCAGTGTAATAGAACAAAGTGTTCTTGCATTGAGGGAGTACTTGAGTGGAGGTCCAATGTCCATCTGCTACCTTAATACTAAACCTATATATATATGCACATAGATCTATTTCCCCATCATACATACACTCATAAACACACACACACACACACACACACACACACACACATGCAGGTATTTAGACCTTTATAAATGCACTCTGCTTCCTAGTTCTTTCCTCTATTCCTTTTACTTTTCTCTAGTCCTACTATCATGCTTAGCCCTCATTTGGGTTTCAGTAATTCCTCTTGGTTACATTGCCCTTGATCAGTATGCAAAAATTTAAAAACATAAAAATGTTAACAGGAATATGGGTGATTGTTATAGTCTTTGTACATTTCAAAATTCTGCTAAAAAACATACTATACTCAAAAGATATGACTGGAAAATATTTACAAAACTAAAAGCATAGGACCACTGCCCTAATAAAAATGAAAAATCTCACAAATTAATAAAGGACTGGCAGACAGCATAAGAAAATAGGTAAAGGAAATGCACAAATATTTTGCACAAAAGAAAACAAGCAAATGGGCAACGAATGTATGAAATGATCCTGAGTCCTCAAAAGAAGAAGCAAGGCTAAAATGAAATATTGTTGTTTTTATTTTATCAGCCTGGCAAAAATTTTAAAGGCTGAAAAAAGTGTATTCCTGAAGAGGATTCAGGAAAGTGAGCACTCTAATTTTTCCCTGGTGAAAATCTGACCTGGTGCAAACACTGGGGGATGGATGACTATTAACCTTTTAAAACGAAATACCCTTGACTCGGAAGTACTGGTCTGAGATTCCACAAGAGCAACAGGTCCCATTGTCAGACTGCACGTTTAAACAAAGGTATTTACTTAGGATTAATAATAATGCCTACTGAAAACTTGACAATCTGAGTAACTTTTCTTTCAGAATGAAATGGTTAAACAAATAAGGTTCAGTAGAATAAATGGTTATTACATAATACTAAAAATAATGTGCTAAAACTACTATTCTGAAGAACAGCCAAGATATACTGCTGAATAAATCAAGGAAGATGCTGAGTAATATATGTGTATTGCATTTTCATTTAAGTGTTTGTAAAAGTAGATACGAATGGAAAGGACACATGGCAACCATCAACAATGGCTGCTATCTCAGAAGGAATGTGATTTTTAAAAAGCAGGAATACTTAAAAAAAATACAACTTTAAAACACAAGAAGATTTAAAGATCTAATTTTTTAACCACAAAAGTATTGCTACAGAAAATTCTTGAACGCTTATTTCAAAACTTTTGGGGAGTGCCAGCCACAAAGTCACATATGGTATGACTCCAGTTATATGAACTGTCAAGAATAGGCAAATCTAAAAGAGAAGGTGATGAGTGGTTCCCAGGGTCTTGTGGGGAGAGGGAGCAGTAGCTGCTAACACTTAGAGTGGTTTCCTTGGAGATGATAAGGCGTTCTGGAATTAGATAGTGGAGATGGTGGCATAACCACTGTGTGGAACATTTGAAAGGATGAACTTTTTTTTCCCCAAAGACTTTGGAAAACAGATTTCAAGAGATTGCTTGGCCTTCTTGGGAACTAACGTTAGGGTTATGGAATCACACTCGTTATTTCGGGTACACAATGAACAAGGCACAGCAGCACGGGGTGGACATGTGTACTTTCTGGTCCTGGGTTCCCACTCAGACGACAGAACTGTCTTCATGTGTGGGTCACATGGATCCAGGGCCCTCGAAGCAACCAGGGATTAAAAGTATGTCAGCTCGTCATGCTTGGCCTTATTGGTCTGGTAGTCAGACAAGGTCACAGGCCTGTTCTCGTGAGGGAGACTCCGAAATACTGTCAGGTGCATGAAGTTGTCATCGCCCACGTGGACCTTGATGAAGTAGTTTGTCCCACCGACCACTTGAGACTTGTACTCCAGTGCCTTAAACTCCTGAAATGTTTTGTTTTCTTTCTCTTCCAGCTGGGCCTTTACCTTGTCCGCGATCTCTTGGATCTCCGCGGTGGCCGGCTTGGTGGCCGAGGTTCCTCTGCATATCATCTTGGCAGTGAGAATGGGGGCGGTTGGCGCAGAGCAGAGAAAGCAGGTGGACACAGGGTGGCCCAGAGGGATGACTCTGAGGCCACCTCCCGGCCCTAAATAGGCGCAGTCACGTGAATGCCGACCGGCAAGCATGAACTTTACAGATACAAAACATATCTCAAAAAAACGAAATAAAATCTTGGTGAGGAGAAGGATGACCAATAAAGCTAGGAGCCAAAATCAGTAAGACTGGATGACTACATAAAAATCCTAAACAAGCAAATAGAAAAGAGAACCCATAAATAAAGTTTAAAAAGATAAACCAAGTATATGTACACATCCCTATAAACAAAACACAGTGGGGAAATGAGCAATTAATCTGAGATATACAAATGGCCACTAAAAACTGTAAAGAGATGTTGCTCTGATTATTAAAACAAATTCATTTAAGCATAGTAATGAATTTATAGTAACTTCCTTTGTCTATTTTGCCTAATAAACAGACAGTAGAAATAAATCTACTATTTTGAAGGGCTCTAATAATCTAACATGAAAAAATATAGCTTCATAATGAAAAAGTTGGAGCATGGATCTAGGTGAAGTACCATAAAATCATAAACTCACAAAGATAATCAAATTTATTTATTTTCCCATCAAGGCAGAAATTCCCTAACCACTATTTCTACAAAGTATTGAATCATCCAGTTGATTTTTAACATCTCCACCCACGAGCAAGTCAGGCAAGAACCATTTCATAATTTGTTAGCTATGAATATTTTCTGCCAAAGTGGGGGGGGGGGGAGATAATAGCAAAACAAAGTGCACAATAAAATTAAAATTATTATTAATAACCAGCTTCTATTATTTAGAAAGGTGCCCTGGGTAAGCATCGGACTGCTAATCACAAACCCGGTGGTTCAAACCCATCAGCTGTGTTCCTCAGAAAGATGAGGTTATCTGTTCCTGTGAAGATAATGTCACTTGGAACCCTATTTATGGCAAGTATTAGTAGGAAGATTCATTAGTCAGTTTGGCTTTGGTATTACTTAAAAAGAAAAGCAGTTATGCGCTGGGTGGGTAACTGCAAGGTCAGCAGTTCAAAACCACCAGCTGTTCCATGGGAAAAAGATGGGCTTTTGACTCCCATAAAAGTAGTCTCGGAAACTCACAGGGGCAGTTCTACCTACAGAGTTGCTATAAGTAGGCACTGACACAATAGCAGTGATTTTTGTTTTGTTTTGTTTTCATAGTTCCACTAAGGAGCCCTGTGGTAATTGGGCCACTAATCACAAGATTGGTAGCTCAAATCTGCCAGCTAGTCCTCAAGAGAAAGATGAAGTAGTCTGTCCTGTAAACATTTGCAGCCTCAGAAACTCTAAGAAGCAATTCTACTCTATCCTATCTAAGGCTGCTATGAGGTAGAATCCACTTTAAGTCAACAGGTTCGATGTTTGGTTTGGGTATTGTTTCAATTTTAACATAGAGGATATATACAGTAGTCTGCTTCACAATAAAACACTGTGAAGATTGTTCTAAAACACTTAAAATAAATTACTACAACACTGCAGGTATACCAAATGAATCTACCTCTGTGTACCCACAAATGGCACAGAACAAAAGTGGTGACGTCTAGCTGGTCAACCTTGTAGTGATTATTAGAGAAACACTGATTATCTGTAACAGAAGTTATTATGCAGTCTCCTTTGGTAAGAGAACAAAACTAGGGACTGTTTTAAATCTTTAACCAATGAGTGGTATTTATTGTTCTACCAAATAAAATTACAGATGAGCTAAGGCAAACAGAAATCTAGAATGAGTCTAATTAGGAAAAGGTTCTCTGAACTATATCATGCTTGCAGAAGATTAAACCTCCTAAAGTAGTACAATAACTGCTTCACATCTGTACTGGTTATGGAAGCATGTTCCCTGGCTCACCTTATTCATATTGTTTTCATCAACCACATCCTTGGATATGTCCTGGATTATTTCTGGACACAAGATAAGAAGAATGATTTGGAGTGGCCAAACTGCTGCTTTACGTTTGGTGCTTTCGGCAAAGCCATCCACTAAGTCAAACAGCTTTTCTGCACACTCTAAATAAAAAATATAAACGTTAAATGGCATTATTAGATGAGAAGAAAACCCCTGGCATTAAATACAGAGCTGGCCACTCTCCATAAACTCAAAGGATACATTGTTTTAAAGAGAGAAACCTGGAAGCTCACTTAAGCAACTACACATATTCATTCAGGTAAGTTGATAAGCAAGGTTACAGTATGTATCTATGTGTCAGAAGCACAATCCTGACCCATCCAGAAAATTCCAAATTTCAGAATGGCCAATCAAATATTTAGTGCCAGTTCCCAGAGGGTGTGATGTCCCCAACTCACCAAGAATGCAGTTTCCCAAAGGGAACTGCCAAAATTCCCCAGGAGTCTGTATTTTCTGCCTTGCAAGAACTCTTATACTGTAGATAAGAGTATTGTGTTATATGAAGCTCCCTAAATATAAAGTCTCAGAGCACAGAAAACCACTTCTCTACAACAAAGAGCCATCAAACACCCTAATTTCAAACTTCTTGGTCTATTTGTTCAAAGGAAAAGAAATAGGCTGGGGATCATTTTGAAATGAGAGAAAACACAATTTCCTTTTTGACATTAGTTGATAATTGAAAATGTAAACACCCCTGGATAACCAACAGATTTGGAAAGTGATGGTTTTTCCTTCATAATAATAGCTTAAAAGACACACCCCACCCCAAAAATTAATCTTATCCTTACCAGCCATATCAGTCTGTGGCATCTGGTACAGCTTTGTAAACTCATCTGGATAATTTTCTACCCAGTTCCAAAAGGCCTACAGATAACAAAGCACATGTCTTTAAATGGAAACAGTGACTTTTTCTCAGCACAAATGTTATTACGAAATGTAATAAGCATGTATATCAGAAAGCTCTGAGTTTCTTCACAAAATTATGGTATATTCTTCCTAAAATATCTTAATATGAAATTAAATTTTAAGCCATAAGTCTTTTGTCTCAAAATTCTACAGACAGTAAATGTATATGCAAAAGTTTAACAGTAAAGACAAGGTAACTTACCTTTTCCAAACTGTTTATAACTGCCAACTGTGCGACCTTCTTTAGGGCTTTAAATTTAAATGCTGTTTCTGGGAAGGTAGAGACATTTTTTTAAATTCGTTTTTGATGATTTACCACAAATATACCTCAGCGCTATTGGTAAAACTAACTTCATTTTACATGCAAGCTTTCATTCCACATAATGAATATGGACCATTGAAGACCTATGCCTGAGAAGCACCAGCTCAATAAAAAGTGAATATACCTTAAACTTCAAAGTTGAGGTTTTCTTTTCTTTTGCTGTTTTTAGTAACTTTTTCAAAATGTAAAAAGCACATTGTAATTGTAGACTATTTTGTTGTTGTTGTTGTTTTTTAATCATTTTATTGGGGGCTCATACAACTCTTATCACAATCCGTACATACATCAATTGTATAAAGCACATTTGTACATTCGTTGCCCTCATCATTCTCAGAACATTTGCTCTCCACTTAAGTAAGCCCTTGGCATCGGATTTTCTTTTTTTTTTTTCTAATTCTTTGTTTTTTTCCTCATTCGATGCTTAGATTATTTCACTTTTCACAAATTCAAGGATTGTACAACTCTTATCACAATCCATACACGCATCAATTGTATAAAGTGCCTTTGTACTTCATTCTCAAAACATTTTCTCTCTACTTAAACCCCCGACATTAGGTCCTCATTTTCCCCTCCCTCCCCGCTCCCCCCTCCCTCATGCACCCTTGATAGTTTATAAATTGTTATTTTGTCATATCTTGCCCTGTCCGACGTCTGCCCTCACCCACTTTTCTGTTGTCCGTCCCCCAGGGAGGAGGTCACATATAGTCCCTTGTAATCGGTTCCCAATTGTAGACTATTTTTAAAACTATACAATAGTGTAAAAAAAAAATTCAATGACATCCATGAAACTACCAGTCAGAGACAACCACAGTGAAGAATTTGGTGAATTTTCTTCCCTCCCTTTTTTCACATGTGATAAGAGAAATACATTTAGCAAAACTGAAATCATAAAGGCTTGACAAACCTGTTTTGCTTTTTAATTCACATCATATCCCAAATCTGTATCACTTAAAATTCTCCATATGTTATTTGATAGCCATATATACAATAGTAACTATTACTCGAACAATTACTTGCCAGGTATTTTCAGTATAATTCAACAATTATACTTCAACAATTCTGAAAATGTCAATTCCTTCGGAATATTTCAGAAGTTAATGCTTGTGTGTACATACAGATATAATAACTTGTTAAAGTCATGACGTTTTTAATATGCTTTGATCTCTTAGAATATATGTCACTAGACTATTACCAATATTTCATTATTATAAACAATACTAATAAATACTTCCATATAAAAATCTTGGTCCACATTACTGATTATTCCTATAAGGCATTCAAAATACTCACAGTGATGCTTTGGACAGAGTAGAACTGCCCCTGTAGGTTTCAAAGACTCTAAATCTTTACAAGAGTAGAAAGCCTCATCTTTCTCCCATGAAACGGCTGCTGGTTTGCAACTGCTGACCTTGAAGTTAGTAGCCAAACATGTAACTCACTACACTACCAGAGTTCATTTCAGATATTACATTTAAAGTTATTCTTATGTAAGCAAACCTACCCTTTAGGAGTCGTTTTAATTTTGCACAATCCACATTGATATACTGCAATAATTCTATATCATGAACATCAACGTTATCCTCTGAACAAACAGTCAGTTCTTGTAACCTATAAAATGAAAACCAAGTACGATTTAGTGATTTACATTGTAGGATATTCCAAAATTCCAAATTCAAAAGATTCTTTTTGCCTGCGATTTTGACAGCTTATTACATAAGTTACACATATCAAAGTAAGGGTATACTTGTTATAAAAATCTTAAAGAACATAACTAATTTAAGAAAGATGATAAAAAATCATGATAATCCAGTAAACAGATGCCTAAACAGTATTTCCTACTGAAATAAGTCAGAGCTCTTTGGAAAAATTAAATATACAAGATGAGCTTTCTTGAAAACAAAAAAACTCCCAGAAGTACAGGTTCTCAAGAACCACAGAGGTGCCCATTTACAGAGGGTCCTACTGTTGAAAAGTGAGATAATATATTTGAGCATTGAAATAATTGTGTTTGTAACAACTCAAACACATAAAACTATGAGTAAAAATCCATGAATCTGTAGTAATACAAGCACACAGAAACCTCATTGGTCACACTTAGGAACTGTTATGGCAGCAACTCATTCTAAAAATTGATGGAAGAATCAAGTTTCTATTATACTTTGTACATGAACTAAATTACAACATTAATAAGGTGAGAAGTCTTTTTCAAGAATCACAATTTTGAAGGAAGGAAGGAATGACAGAGCAAGGCATTATCATTGTGCAATTTCCGATGACATGAGCAATCCGGGCAATGAGCTTCCTAATACAAACATCAAGATAAACTTAGGTGCCCTAACATATGGCATAAACACAGTAACAACGTAATGGAAAACATGGACACAGCAATGACAGTATAGATAGCTGGGACCTCCTAAAAATAAGACACTCTGTGAATCAAAAGATTTCACTCAAAAGAGTAAAATGAGAACACATGGTCAAGGAGAAAAACTTTAGTAATGACATATCAGACCTGAGACTAAACTGTAAGATTTCTAGAAAACGTCAATGCTTCAACAAGAAAAAGGAGAATAGCCCAATTGAAAAATAACCCAGAAGTTATGGACAGGCACCCAACAAGCCTCATAAAGAAATGGTCACAGTCACTAGCCAGCCAGGAAATGCAAACCAAAATGACAATGAGATACCACTTCATTCCAGAAAAGATGGAAACCACCTAAATGCTCACCAGTGAACGAATGGATACATAAACACTGGTACACACTCACATACAATGGAATATTAAGAAACACTACAGAACAACAATGAATCTGTACAGCATCTCATGACAGATGCATTCGGAGGGCAAATCAAATACAAAGGGACCAATATTGTAGGAGACACCAGACTCTCATGTGTTATTAGGGGCAGGTGGAAAGGGCAGGAAAGCAACAGTCTAGGGTAGACAGATGCTAACTTGGGTGAAGGGGGAGATAATATACTACGAAAAGGAGATGGGACAGCAAAGAGGGCGAGGAGGAGACAGGGCAAGCCATTGGGAGGTTTGATTAACTGTTTAAACTGTTGAATGCAAAAACAACAATCTGGTATGTAAGCTTTCACCTAAAGCACAATAAAAAGTTTGAAAGCAAAAAAGCACAGAGGCAACACTACAATGAATGAACAAGGCTGCTGATACCTAAACCCAACAGTCAATCCGACATGTTTTCGGAATGCATGCACCAGGAACTAGAGGACACAGAACAGGTATTCTTGCCCTACCAACAAAACAACAGATTTCAATCAGGGCCAGCCTATGAATACTGAAAATTCTACAAAACACCTAACACAGTTCGTCAACAAATAAGCGACATGAAATAAACAAAGGTAGGAAGGTGGAGAAATGATGAAATTATGTGGATTATATTATGATAAGGGGAAGAGTGCTGGTGGTGTAGTGGTTACGTATGGGGCTTCAATCTGCATGGTTGGTGGTTTGAAACCACCAGCCGCTCCCTGGAAGAAAGACTAAGCTTTCTACTCCCATAAACAAGTTACAGACTTGGAAACCCACAGGGGGTTGCTGTGAGCCAGCACTAACTTGATGGCAGTGAGTTTGTGTTTTACGATATAGAGCTTTAAAAAGAAAGACGAACCAATTGCATGATATGGACTTTGGCTATTGACTTGAACAAACCAAATGAAAAGGCCATTTTTTAAAATAATAAGAAAAATTAAACCTTAATTTGGTATAGCTATTAAAGAATTGTGAATTTCTGTTAACTATGACCATGGTATTATAGTTAACTTTAAAAATCTGTGAGGAATACATATTGACATATCTATAGGTGAAATGACTCATATCTGTGATTTGTTTCAAAATACTTAAAAAAGGTTTAGGAAGGAGGTACAGATAACTGTTGAAGGAGATTGAGAGATACACATAGATTTAAAGTATTATTTTGCTTTGAATACACTTGAAATTTTTCCAGCAGATGCATGGATTGACATCGAGGCTGAAAAGGTATGAGAGGGAAAGTGGGAGTGAGTATACCCACGAATATATAGGATTGACATAAGATATTCGTCTACGTGTATTTACCTTTTCTACAAATATACCCATATATGTGATGGAGCATACACAGGGAAAAGTTATGAAAACTACTTAGACATACCCAAACACCTAATGGAATGAGTCGCTGGGCCTGGAGGATCATTACCATAGTGCTGGCGGGCACCAACATCAACTGGCATAACATGATTCACAAAAACGTCCTACATCCTACTTGGGTGAGTAGCAACTGGGGTCTAGAGCAACTACTGGTCTCCCCCATGCAATGAAAAGGACAGGTGGAAATGGAAAGGCACAGGGAAACTATCAGTCCACTCAACTAATGGACCACACATCAGTCTCCACAGCCTAAAACCAGACACACTAGATGGTGCCTACCTACCCTACCAACCACTCTGAAAGAAATCATTTTAAACCAAAAACCAAGCTGAGTGCCACACTGAGTTGTTTCTTACCCACAGCAACCCAAGTAAGTGGAAGAAGAGGGTGAGATAAAACTCAAAACCCTAAAAAGACCAGGCTACCTGACTGAATATACACTAATGGAACCTCTAGACCAGTGGTTCTCAACCTTCTTCATGTAGTGACCCTTTCATACAGTTCCTCATGTGGTGGTGCCCCCAACCACAAAATTATTTTCGTTGCTACTTCATTACTGTCATTTTGCTACTGTTATGAATCAGGCGACCTCTGTGAAAGGGTCGTTCAGCCCCCCCCCCCCCAAGGGGTCGTGACCCACAGGTTGAGAACCGCTGCTCTAGACTAGGGCCCTTAGACACCCTTCAATGAGACTCAGGAGGTACATCAACTAAGATCAAGAAGGCAGCATTTACGCAAGGACAAAGTTCAGAAAGGTGAAGGAATGAAAAGAAAAGGAAGGAGAAAGTAGGGTGCGTGACAGTACATTGAGAGATTGCAATGAATAACAAAATGTGCTAAATTGTTGGACATCAAACTGATTATCTGCTCCATAACCTTTAACCAACCATAAGTAAAATACAACTTACTTTACAATTTCTACTCACATCAACTAGACTTCAGAAGCATGGATATTTTATCTGCATTCCCAGGTCATGGTTATATTGAAATAAAAGGAACTGAATCTCTTCAGTGCACGTTTCTTAGTCTGTATACATTTGTGTGATTGTTTTGAATAATGTCTCTCTTTCCCAGAAGTAGATAAGCTTATAGAACAAGAATTTTTTTCAAAGCCCAAATCCCCCCTTATAGTGGATTTAAAGTTATTATTAAGTGTAGTGAATTTAATACTTAACACAAATTTCAGGCACTTGAAAACTGCTAAATTCACTTAACAGCAATGATTACAGAATTGGGCTTCTTAATGATGCATATTCAGTATTTCAATTAATGTTACTGTTGTGTGCCTAGAGCTGGAATCACCTCCTAGGGACCCTATGTGGCAGAGGAGCACACCCCACAGGGTTTCCTAGGCTACAAATGAACAAGTCTTTTCTCCTGCAGTCTCACTTGGTGGACTCAAACTACCAACCTGTCAGTTGGCAGATTCCATTAAAATAATAATAATAATAAGCACATGAGAATAACGTATTATCCTAGAAAGAGAAAGCACAAATGTTACATGACTTTATAATATTAACTTGAATTTTAACCATTTAGTGCAGTTCAAACTTGACTTAAGAACTACCACCAGACTTCAGTTGCTAAAAGTGAAGCCAATCTCATTTCTTCCTTCTAAACTTATCAATCATTTTAGCCTACGAATCTATCTTGCTGCCTTCTAGTAGATGCCAACTCGGAGCGACCCCATAGGACAAGGCAGAACTGTCCTATGGGTTTGCAAGACAGATGTACAACTAACACTAAAATTATTCTAAGCACTGACACAAAAATGCTATATATTGTCAGTATGAGACAAGCTTAGCAGTTTTAACAGGGAATGACAAAGTTCTCAATATTGATTTACATATAAAAATCTCACAGCTGTTACACAGAACTAAGAAGTATAAAGTATGCCTTAGCTGGAAGCACAACTCAACAGATGAGCAACACAAACTTCTCGGCCTCTTGCACCTCCTGGGGCTGTTTGTAAAAAATTGAAGAAAAGTTTAAGCCCTTTTATAGTCTAGTTTATTTCTACAGAAAAAGAGTATTTTGTAATGCTTTTCATTCTGGAGATAAGAGAAATCAAGTAAAAAGCAGTTCAAGGAATAAAAATAGAGAAATGACCGCTAAATGCCCACCAATGCCAAGTATTGACTTATAAAATGAATATCACTGAGTTATGTGCTCACAAGTGATAACTATACGGCACCAAGTGGTCAACAATTACCCCAAGCAGAGGCGAGAGAAGCAGGAAAGGGAGGGGGACACAGCAGCGGACCCGAGCAGAGATACGGTTAAGGCCGATGCACTGCCCACGCTCTAGCTGATGGCACAGCATGGAACAATCGGGATAAAGAGTGTTAAGGGGACCTACTTTGCTGTGTAAACTTTCACTGAGAGCACAATGAACTATTGTTGTTATTTTCATTTTTAGACAGGTTAAATAATCAGGCACAAAAATGTTTCGTATTTTGATTCATCTAGTAGGTTACATGTCAAAGGGCTTTCTCAAAGAGCTGCCATTCAAATCACTTACCGCTGCTAAGGCACCTAGTGCATGAGCTGGAATTAACAGCAACCGGCTTTAATACTGTGACAGCAATGTCAGAAGATACCAAACTCCGAACTCTTGGCCAAAGAGTCAATGTCAACTCATAGCAACCCTTTAGGATAGGGTAGAACTGCCCTGGTAGGTTTCAGAGACTTTTAATGGGGAGAGGGAGGGCTGAAAGCCCCATCTTTCTCCCAATGTCAGAAGATATCATCATCTAAATTAAATCACTGCAGGGGTCTTTTTGTTGAGTACGCCTCTAAAAGATAAGAGGACGACCCTTTCATTTAGGCACAAGCTAAATGAAAAGGCAAAAGTCTAAATTCGTGTTTCACAGAATCCACTCCGATGCAACCTGTCCTCTGACAGCTAAAGAAACTGCTTTATGATGTGGACGCTTGCCTTCTCTCTGACAACAGTGAACTAGATGCAGCAGACTAAACAAAGGCGGTCTGTTTTTGTATGTGCTAACGCCACAAAATCCCATAAAACAAAGTCCTGTATGACTAGAACATTAAAACTTCTGCAGTTTCCAAAGGCAGCAGATTTCCTATTTTATATAAAAACTCAAGTAAAGAGAGAATGAAAAATAGCTTATTCTTTTGATAATATTCTATCTTCAATATAAGATTATATTAGGATCAAAGGCTTACATATAGTAAGGGCCTACTTTAATGAAAAAAGTTTGGAATTAAAAAATAATAATTTGTCAACCTCTTATTCCCTAGGCATTTGTTACCATGCTGATTGAAGCAGAGTATTATCACGAGAAGGCTTTTAAAAAATTCATGGGAAAAAATCATTATCTTTCAATCCCATTTTTCATAAACTCTTGGAAGCCCCTCATATTACTCAGACTGTGAAATATTACTATTTGAAGAGGCTTCATGAGAGCATTGTTCTATTGTACACATTGTCAATAATATTGCACCATTAAATAAAATTTTAGTATTGTTTGCAACAGGAATTCTGTTGAAAGACTAATAAATATTGTTTCCTAGCATCACAATTACAGGAAAATCTTTTTAATTAAAAAGGTAAAATTTTGAAGTCAGTCAACTCCCCTAAAACACTACAACACAAAATTTTAAATGATAATGATGTACATTCTCTTTCATACCTCGTGGAAAAACAGGAAGACTGAGTAAATCTGACTAATGGAAATGCACCATTCATTCACACAGGCAAATCAAAAGATGCACGCACAAATAGCAAAAAGAATTGTTTTTCTCTATGTAAGTCTCTGGTTCACTCACGTGATTTGGCAGAAAATTACTCCATGTTATACTTCCCACTTGGTCAAAATTAAGGACCCATTTGCCTCTTCTTATAGAAGGCAAATTATTTGCATCAAAACAAGTTCCTGAGTTAATGTGTTCATGTCAGTTCTAATTCTCTCTTGTATATTGTCATCTATATCAGTTTTCCCATCTGCAACATACGTTTTATAAATGTTAAAACACACCAGAACAAAAGTGTGTGTATAAAGATTTCATCAAAATAGAGCTTTAACAGAAAGAAATCTGGGGGGCTTCAGAAACTTTGCAGGAACAGCTGGGGGGACAGTAGAACTGTGCCACCACTGTGGAGAGCAGTAGGGCGCACCCTCCAACAACTGGAAATAGGAGTGCCGCCTGACCCAGCAATCCCTTTACTTGGTTCAGACCCTAAAGAGTAAAAGCACAGCGTAAACAGATGTCTGCAGACTCATGCACCACTGTTCACCATAACAAGAAGAGCCAAAGCACCTAAATGGCTAGCTATGAAAGAATGGATACTTTAGCACATACACACAATGGACTGCTACACGTTGCTAGCGAATTAATGATGCAACTGTGAAGTCCCCCACAGCATGAATGGATGTAGAGAGCATTGTGCTGAGTGGAGTCAATCACAAAAGGCCAAATATCGTATGAGACCACGTATATGAAAGAAAAAGAAAATCAAGACAAAGGTTTTTACACCAAAAGATGACGACTTTGAGAGCTACCGGGGGTGGTGAGGGAAGGGGAAGCAAGGGGCTAGAGCACGGGTTGGCAAACTGGCTCCAGAGTCGTAATACGTGGCTCTTTCAGTACATGTGTGTGGCCCTGAACTAAAACTGAAAAAATGTAAAGGACATTATTCAGATAATGGTGATTTCACTGTTTGAGAAAATATGTTTATGGCTCTCAAATAATTTTTTAAGTTGTGTGAGGGACAGGATTGGCTCTTCAAAAGTTGTCGACCCCTGGGCTAGAGGGTAAACAGGTGTTAACATGGCTGAAGGGGAAGATGGCATTCTGTACCAGGAAAAAAAGGAGAGGGGGACAGAGTAAGCTAGTGGGAGGTTTGAAAAGCAGTGTGTATACTCAGGTATAACCCGAGTTTTTCAGCACATTTTTTAATGCAACTTTTGTGGCAAAATGAGGTGCCTCGGCTGATATCCGGTTCAGCTTATACTTGAGTATATACGGCAGTTTAAGTTGTTGAATACAAAACTGAAGATCTGAAATATAAACTCACACCTAATTCACAGTAAAAAGTAAAAGACAAAGAAGAACAATTGTAAAACAATTCCATTACTATGACATTTTTTAAGTCCCCACCCCCCACCATAGGCACGCAAACTGGTAGAATAAACCAATACAGACTCTGCTGGCAGCCTGAAAGCCCAACTTAGATGGAAATTTAGTCTATTATTTGGTGTGACACCTTCAGAACATCCTGGGGCATCACAGCACCTCCAGGGTTTCTTCCATAACAGTGCAGACATTTCACTGCACATGTCAGTATAACAATATCAAATAATAATAAACACTTCAAAGAAATTAAGAGATGGAAAATTCTACAAAAGGCCAGATAAAATTCATTTCTGTCAACGTTTACCTTTTATGTAAATATAAGAAAGACTTCAATGATAATGCTTTAAAATTTACATGATTCCTACAATCCAATGTGGCTTTACTGGCATCCTCTATGACATACTGCTCTACTAACCTGGTAGAAATGCGACTAAACACGGCATTGAAGTTGTTGCAGCTGAGAGAAAACAACACCCCAGAGGCCGAATTCCGAAGCTCAGCTGCGTGTTGGTTTCCTTCCCGACAGGTGTGAAGAAAATGGCAGATTTCTGGTAGCAACTGTTTGACCAGCATGGTTTCATCTAATCTCATTGTGTCCTTTGGTTGCTAAAATAGAAATGATTACATATGTCTAAAAACTTTCTTCATCTGACATGTAAATGTGGTAATACCACCTTTCCCAATTTCCTAGTATGGAAATTTTCAAACATACAGTAAAGATGAAATAGCCATATATGTATCACCTAGATTCAACAATCGGCATTCTGTCATATTTGCTTACACCCATCTATAAACCCCCAAACCACACCAGTCGCTCTTGATTCAGGTCTGACTCGTGGCAATGTCATGTGTAAAGTAAACATGCACTCGCCAGGGTGTCAAGACTATGCCCTTGCTGGTTGCCAGACCTTTCTTCTGAGGGGCCCAAGAGGGTTCAAACTGCCACCCTTTCAGTTAGTAGTTTGAGTCGTCCAGGGACTCCATTTCTATATCTTTACATAGCCTCATAAAAAATAAAAAAAGATAATTCCATCTCCATATCTATTATAGATGGAAGTGTCCCCCTCAAAAATCTAAGTAGTAAACCCTTAACTCTCTGTCCCTATAGCATGGGAACCCTGGTGGGACCGAGCCTCACTGCTCAGCAGCCAAATGGAAAAGATCACGCTGCAGTCTGCATCTGCAGCTTTGGAAGACTTATGGGGCAGTTCTGCCCTTCCCATGGGAGGGAGCCCAGACTTTACGGCAACCATGTGGTTTGATTTATACCTGTGGTTATAATCTCATTTGGGCATGGGTTTCCTTGTTATGTTAATTACAGTATTAGTGTAGGTATGTCTGAAATCAATCCCCTTTGAAATCTGAAAGAACAGATTGAGAGCAGATAAACACAAAATACAAGCCACCTGATTTTCAAAACCAAAAATGAATCCATCCTGATTCATAGCAATTTTATAGGACAGGCATCGAATTGCCCCAGTGGGTTTCTGAATTGCTACCTTCTCGGTTAGTAGCTCAACTCATAACGACTATGCCACCAGGGCCCTCTGCTTGTCCAGGAACACAGGAATAAAAGCTGAAAAAACACAAAGATCTTCCACCAAAGTGGACTGAGACAGGCAGGCAGGCAGAAAGACAGACAAGCCTTCCCCTAAAGCTAGATGGCACCCTGCATTCAGACTTCTAGCCTCCTAAATTATAGGAAATTAAGTTTCTACTCATTGATGCCACCCATGTGTGGGTTTGTTTAGGGTTTTTTTTTCCTCTTACAGCAGCACTAAAATTAACCTGCTAATCACACTAAAAATCCAACCTCACTCCTAGGACTTTCCAGTTTGTTGTGTGTGCTAAATAACCTTTCATTCCTAATTCATATTCACTGGTGCATACACTGTGTCATCTGTCTCAGCATCCAAATAAATTCCTAGTGGACAATCTCACCTACCTCTAAGTGGCTGACCAAGACAATTAGATAGTATTATGAGTTTGCTTTCAGAACTGATAACAAAACTATTTCAGAATAGTTGAACTATTTCAGAATTGTTAACGAAAATTGTTATATTTCAGCATCTCTTAAAAACAAAAATATTCTCCAATGTGACTTTGATACAAAATATCAGATCAAAGGGAAGTACTCAATTCCCTTGTATCAGTCTCTACTCAAATCCCCCTAGCACCCCCGAGATGTTTTCCATGAGCATTTGGCTTAGAACATAGAGATTCATAGATAGTAATATATAGTTAAGTTCCTTTAGTATTGTCATTCAAGAATTTATCACACTTCCCATATTTTTTATTTTATTTTTCCATAACTTCTAAAAAGAAATTGGATCAGTTGCCTTACAGAATGTTCTATAATCTGGACTTTATCGTTCCCTTGGGTGTAACTTTTTCTTCTAATTACTGTATTTTCTATAAGCTGAACTTAATGATCAGATTGGATTCAATTGAGCATTTTAAGTAATGCAGTATACCACATATTACATGAAAATACAAGCACACTAAGTCAGATAGTCCCATTATTCAAACCAAATCTGATAGCTTGATTTAATATTCAAATGTCCATGCTGTAAAGACCTTGTCCTCATAGAATTAACCAATGGTTATTTGCAGATATTATGTTCCACATCAATATTTCACCTTAGATTTTCAGTAACCCATGTATGGATAGCAATTTTCAGAATGTCAAGCATGTTATAATGGTAAAAAAATTTTAATTTTGTGTAGTTATATGTTGCATCATTGTCATTCAAGTGCTTTCAGATGCAGGTACACTTAAATAAACAGATGACATAAAATCTATCAAATGCTTTTTTATAAGTTAACCAAATATTTCACAAGAGGCCTTGAGAAAGTTAATAGGAAAGTTCCATTATCATTCAATTCTGTTTTTCCATGTAATTTTTGAAGTCCCCTTATAGATGTTGAAACTAACTCCAGTTAATTAACAAAATGTATAGGAGTGTTTATTTTCTGAACAATAATAATAAAAATACTTGAAATTCTTTAAATTACATAAAATTTTTCTCATAATGTGGTACTAGTAAAGAGTTGTTCACTTATAAATATTAGTAAGGTGTAGTTAGAATAGTTAGCTATTCCAACTATTTTCATGATATAAATATGTATTCAAGACCTCTGAGGAAACTGCCTTAATTTACTGCAATCCAAAAATAAAAATCAAGAGATGTCCATAAAATTAATGAAGGCATTTCAAGGAAACACAATTATTCAATAACATAAATACCATTTTAAAATATATTTAATGAAAACAAATTCTTAATAGAGGAGAGCAAGGGAATATATAAGGACAAGAGAAAATCATAGAAACCTTTATTAAACAAAAATATCAAATGACGCTATTGGCCGATACACACTCCACATGCTTGTCTCCTTCTAACACTAACCCTAATTCTTTGCTCTTTGAGTTAAATCACATCAAAATGGAAGTTTGCCATCCTTGAGGATTCAGGTCTTGTTCTTTTTAAATGTTCTCTAGGGAACAAAAAGGATTCTGAAAGGGAAAGATTTCCCACTAACTTTCTCAAGCCCCTTGTATATTGTTTTGTTAACGCGTAAATAAGAAACAAGGTGAGTATTTTATAGAGGGCTGTAGGGTGGCTGGAGTAACGTTTCCCAACAAAATATTCCTAGGACAGCCGTGGCTCCCCTCAAAGAAAGAGCAGGTGTGTGGCATGAAGGGAAAAATCCTCACAACAGCTCTCCCGGTCTTTTTATCACCAGTGCAGTTTTCAATGTTCTGAAAAGTTCTTCCTAATAAACCTGTGGGGGCCTCTTGTGCCCTTCAAAAGCATTAGTCCACCTGAGAGCTTCCCGTCCCCTTGGCCCCAGCAGACCCCATTCTTCGGCCCTTTGGACATCGCAGTCTCACCAGCCCCTCAAATTGTGGGCGCATCCCCTGACACACTAACAGTAACAGCACACTCTAGAGGAGCAGTTCTCAACCTGTGGGTCACGACCCCTTTGGGGGTCAAACGACCCTTTCACAGGGGTAGCCTGATTCATAACAATAGCAAAATGACAGTTATTAAGTAGCAACAAAAATAACTTTATGGCTGGGGGTCACCACCACATGAGGAACTGTATTAAAGGGTCGTGGCATTAGGAAGGTTGAGAACCACTGCGCTAGAGTCTAGACTGCGTTGCTGAAGATCTAATTCTGAAATACAAGAGGCTGTGGCCCTATCCTTTAAGATCCGGGAGCCCAAGGCCCCACCCTTTGAAATCAAGTAGGCCCTACTTCCCATGATCCTTCCAACAGCTCCACTAATCTCAAACTGCTCTGCGGATTGTCCTTTTATTTTCTTGGAGGACAACTGCATAAAACTCAATGCCTTCTTCCAAAAAAGCATTGCCTCTTCCACTGTTCTATCACATGTACATGCTCTTTAAAGCCACACCAGCAGCACATGTGACACACGTCTTTCTACCAGCATTCTGTTGCCGGTGCCACACGGACTCTCTAAGACGATGGAGAGTTTCACTATAGCTCCCGCTTCCTTCTGAGTTCTCACCAGAACAGTCTTTGATGTCCGTAACTCCACAATGTCTCATCGACCATTTAGGCTTTTATTATTAAGTACTTAAAAAATCTTCTAGCCTCTTCCTGTTACCCAAATTCCAAAACCACTTCCATGTTGTAGTTCTCTGTTAGAGCACCATCCCACTCTCTGATACCAAATGCTGTCTGAGTCAGCTAGTGCTGCTGCAATAGTCAGACCACAAGTGTGGGGCCTTAACTAATTATTTTCTCACAGTTTGGGAGGTAGAAATCTGAATTCAGGGCACTGGCTCCAGGAAAAGACTGGCCCTGTATGAAGGTTCATATTCCATGGCTAGCTTGGTGGTCCTTGCTGTGGCATGGCATCTATCCTCTCTGCCCTCTCTACTTCTTGCATGCTTATTTAAATTCTTTTATATCTCTAAAGAGAATGATGCAAAAGATGGCCTACAAAGTATAACACATCTGCAAAATACCTCATAACATGAATAAGGAGGACAGACAGTAAGCTGAGTGAAATTAGTCAATCACAAAAGGGTAAATACTGTACAATAGCGATCTTAAAACGTCAGAAAAAGTTTACACACTGAAAGAAACATTATTTGATGGCTACAGGGGATGAAAGAAGAAGAGAGGGAGGGGAAGTCACAAGCTAGAGGGCAGGTGAGAGTTAATTTGGATGAAGGGAAAGGCAATACACAGTTAAGAGGGAGGTTCAAAAAACTAATGGAGGCAAGAAAGAACTGGGAAGTTTGCAGTTAAAGGCAACTGAAGCAAATACTGCAATCATCCTGCAATAGCAGTGGTGATCTATGAGAAGGAGAGTAGAAGGGATAGAGAGATTCCACCCAAGAACAGATCGTTTTAACAGGGAATATTTGTGTATGTGTATTTCCCTTTACTGTAAATATATTCATGAATGTGGTGATGCATACATACTCTTGGGAGGCAGGGGAAGTTATGAACAGATAACCAAACACCTTGAGGTACAAGTCACAGGCCCTGGAGGCTCAGAACCATAGTCTCAGGGACACCAAGGTGTATGTGAATAACATAGCTTACAATGCTCTACATCTTATTTGGTGGAGTAGTGACTGGGGTCTTAAAAGTTCATGAGCAGCTATCTAAGGTACAAATAATTGGTCTCTCACTATTTGGAGGGGCAAAAAAAGTAATGAAAATCTAAAGACATATTGAAAAAAATATTCCAATGACTATTGGACCATGCAAACTTCAATCTCCACAACCTGAAACAGGAACTAGATGGTGCTACAATACCACCACTAATGTTCTAGAAAGAATCACATTAGGAGGTTCTGGATAGAATGGGAGAAAAATGTGGAACAGATCTCAAAACCATAAAAGACACCTGGCTGATTGGTTGGATAGAGACTGGTTGTTGTTGCTGTTGTCATCGAGTTGGTTCTGAATCATAGTGACCCCGAGCACAACACATTGAAACACTGCCCAGTCCTGCCCAGCCTCACAATGGTTCCTACACTTGAGTCCATTGTTGCAGCCACTGTATCAAATCATTTCTTGGGGGCTTTCCTGCGTTTCACTGCCCCTCTACTTGAACAAGCATGATGTCCTTTACCAGAGACTGGCCTCTCCTGACAACATGCCCAGAATATGTCAGGCAGTCTCACCATCCTTGTCGGTAAAGAGAACTTTAGCTGTACTTCTTCCAAGTCAGATCTTTTTGTCCCTTAGGTAGCCCCTGGTACTTTTAATATTCTTTACAAGCACCACAATTTAACTGCATCAATTATTCTTCCATCTTCCTTATTCAATGTCCAACTTTTTAAAAATCATTTTATTGGCGCTTGTGCAACTCTTAGCACAATCCATACATCCATCATGTCAAACACATTTGTACATGTGTTGCCATCATCATTTTCAGAAAATTTTCTTTCTACTTAAGCCCTTGGTATCAGCTCATTTTCCCGCTCCCTCCTCTACTCTACCTCCCTCATGAACCCTTCATAATTTATAAATTATTTTTTCCACGTCTTACACTGACCGATGTCTCCCTTCACCCACTTTTCTGTTGCCCATCCCCCTGGGAGGGGGTTATATGTAGATCATTGTGATCCATTTCCCCTATCTCCTCCCACCTTCCCCTTCCCCTCCTGGTATCACTACTCTCAATATTGGTCCTGAGGGGTTTATCTGTCCTGGATTCTGTGTGTCGAGTGCTCTCATCTGTAGCAGTGCACATGCTCCAGTCTAGCCGAATTTGTAAGGTAGACTTGGGGTCATGACAGTGGGGTGGGGAGGGGGGGGGGGAAGCATAAAAGAACTAGAGGAAAGTTGTATGTTTCATCAGTGCTATACTGCACCGCTCATCCCCTCCCTGCGACCCTTCTGTAAGGGAATGTCCAATTGCCTTGGGTCTCTATTGTGCACTCTCCCTCATTCACAATGATATGATTTTTTGTTCAGGGTCTTTGATGCCCAATACCTGATCCTATCGGCACCTCATGATCACACAGACTGGTGTACTTCTTTCATGTGGGCTTTGTTACTTCTCAGCTAGATAGCCGCTTGTTTATCTACAAGCCTTTAAGACCCCAGTCAATGTCCAACTTTCACATGCATATGAGGCAAAAGAAAATGACATGGTTTGGGTCAAACACACCTTTATCCTCAAAGTAACATTCTTTCTTTTCAAATCTGAAGAGGTTTTGTGCCAATAGATTTATCCAGTGCAATGTGTCATTTGATGCTGCTTCCATGAGCACTGATTGTGAATCCCAACAAGACAAAACCCTGACATCTTCAATCTTATCTCCATGCATCAAGATGTTGGTCCAGTTATGAGGATTTGGGTCTTCTTTACATTGAGTTGTAACGCATACTGAAGGTTGCCATCCTTGATCCTCATCAGTAAATGCTTCAACTCTTCTTCATTTTGAGCAAGCAAGGTTGTGTCTTCTGCATATCAAAGGATGTCAATAAGGTTTTCTCCAACCCCATGCAGCATTCTCCTTCATATAATCGAGCTTCTCTGACGATTTGTTCAGCATACAATGGAATAAACATGGTGGGCGTATACAACCCTGATGCACCACTTTCCTGATTTTAAATCATGCAGTTATTGCCTTCTGCTATTCGCACAACTGCCTCTTGATTCATGTACAAGTTCCTAATGAGCACAATGAGGTAAACCCCTGAAACGATGATCCCTAGTCACCCTTCAGGTCTGGAAATAAACTCCCCCACGCAAATCAACCCCTTCAATCAAAAAGGTAAGGGTTAGCAAGGAGCAGAGGATCAAGAAAGGAAGAATGGAGACAGTGAAAGGAAGAGGAATACGCAATGGTGCACTGAAGGGACTGAGACTGTGTGTTGAAACAAAGTATAAATTGTGGAATGTAAAACTGATGATCTGTTCTGTAAACCTTTACCTAAACCACAAAAAGTTTGCTGTTTTTTAAATGACACAATGTAAATTAATCCTATCCATTAACATAACAAAGTCAGCCCATACCCAAACAGACTCTAATCACAGGCAAAGAGGCTAGCACTCTGGGCTGGCTTTGGAGGGACACAATTCAATTCATAACAATAGATCCCAAAGTAACTGAAAACATCAAGCTAAAGCAGAACTTGTGTCTTAGTTATTTATCTAGTGTTGCTGTAACATGAACACCAAAGGTGGAAGTCTTTAGCACACAAATTTATTTCTCAGAGTTTAGGAGGCTTGGAGTCTGAATCTGGGAGTGCTAGCTCTAAGGGAAAGCTTTCTCCAACGCTGTCAGCTCTATAGGAAAGTCTTGGTCTCCTTTCCAGCGTCTAGAGGCCAGCATTCCTGGGAGAGGTCCAGGGGCTCCAACGGCCTTCACACCTCTCCTGCCCCGCCCCTGAAAGATTCTTCAGCACATCCGAACGGCACACCCTGTGCCTGGCTTTTCTTTCTTGCTGGTATTGAGGTCTCCCTTCTCTGCACACCTCTCTCTCCTTTTATGTCACGAGAGATAAAAGGAAATCAAGGAGATGCAGGTCACCCCGGAGAAATGCCTCTTTCTTCAGATCAGGGCTGTGACCTGAGTAAAGATGGTGCCTCCCACCCTGCCTCCCTTACAACTGAATAGCTTGATCACAGCAGAGAGGATAATTACATTATGCTAGAATCATGGCCCAGCTAAGCTGACACATATTTGGGGGAACTAATTCCATGATAACTAATTTGCACACTTAATTTAAATACAAAACCTATAAACACTATCACAATTTTAGAATACATCCAATTGTCACATAAAACCTGGTCATGTTGTGAAAATCGGTGTTATGCAAAAGTGAAGGATGATCACATTAGTTCCCACAACGAGGATGTCTACATCATCACACAATCTCCAAGTAACACGATTACATAACCACCAACTTACCTGTCAAACCACTGAGACTCGGCCCAGGTACACTGACACATAACCCTAACTGTCACAGCCAACATCACGCTCACTTCAAATCTCAGGATCTAGAGTAAGGTGACCAGATGTCCCGCTTTTTAACAATTTGTCCCACGTCCCGCAGCGTTTTTAAAAAGTCCTGATTTTTGGAAAGAATGCTCGACAAATTAGGGAACGATGGGAAAACAGGAAGACCAAACTTTTAATCAAGAAACCCTCCCCCACCACCACCCCCATGGTCAATGGTGTCCCACTTTACCAATGCTTTACCAATGTTAAAATCTGGTCACCTTATTCTAGAGGTACATTAATATGCAAAATAATCAGGTGGTGGATTTTTTACTATTGTCACAAATGCAAAATATGAGACAATGAAATAGTTAATAAGTAAGGAATAGGTGTATAGTCAAGGGCCAAGCAAAGTGTTTAATATATTAAGCTTGGATTTTATGGACAAAAGGTTTAAATATCTCCTTCCATATATAGTTATGAGTATAACTTTTTTCCAATTCCTTATTTTACTTCCCCAAACACTTTTGAACATTTCCGCTCTTCTCAACCACACAATCAGTCTGCATAAATTAAAGTTCCTTCCACTTAGGTTTACTACAGAGAACTAACATATATATGAGAGAAGCAAATCTAAATAGAAGGTCAAGGATATGCCAGAGGATGGGAGAATATAAGAAATAAGTTAACTCCAAGACATACTGAATGCACAGAGCATTAAATGAGAGGTATCTAATTTATATACACTCTCAACATGTTCCAAAAAGAATTAAGGTTAAACTACAGAAACATGTTACTTTATACAACAGAAATATTGTCTTAAAAACTCAAATTAAGTCAATGCTGAAATACATTAAGGGAAATAATGATCTAGAGGAAATCAAATAAACAACTGCCTGGTATTCAACTACTCTGCCATGTCTATATAGTTTATATGCTCATAAATGCACTTGTGTTTTAATTCTTTAAATTATAGTTTAAATTTTTAAAAGTTCTCTTTTATATAGATTTTAAAAGTTGTAGATTAACATCAGTTTTATACTGGAGGAAAAAAAAGTTCATTCTTGGTCTTCTGCATTATATTCTTTGATAGCTAAACAGTGTACAGATATGACATTAACTGGGAAATTTGACTAAACAATGGTTTCTTCTTAAATTCCTTTCTGATAATTCTGAGATGGAGTTATGTGACTCATACTTACGTAATTTCTGTTCAAGTAAACTTATAATCTATCTAACTTATATATGACAAGATTATTTTTACTTCAAAAATTGTGTCCATTGTGTTGTACTCTATTAATAAAATGTATAGTCCTAGGTCTTCAACAGAAAATCCATAATTGTTCTCCTTGTTTGCATCTATGCTTTGATAAATCAGATCATCCTCAAGACTAAATTCACTTAGGGAAGAATTACTTACCCCAGCAAGACATTTTTCCAGTGTATCCAATATAATCAACTGAGAGAGATATAAATTCTTTTCAGCAGCTTCTCCAAATATTCTCTAAAAGATGTGCAAAACAGTAAAGTTGGTTATAATTTTCCTCTACAAATCAGCACACATCTAAAAAGTTCAAAGCACTCGAAATCTTAAAGATCAAGGAAACAATGGTCTTCCTTTGTTATCCATTCCTATCCTCATACTAAATAAATTCTGAGGTAAAAAGAAATGTTGACATTTATAAGGGTGTTTTAAAAAGTCTGTGGACTAATTCTACCTCATTATCTTTCAATTCCATTTGTCAACAAACTTTTGAAGCACCTGTGCATTAAGAGTCTGCCATAGCCTTCTAACAATAAAACATGTTGCTTTTGGTTAATGCTTTAAAAATATGTAGAGTTTGAATTTTTGACTCTGTGCCAGAATCGAGAGCTGAACATTTTACCATTTTCATTACAAAAACAAACAAACAACTTAGTATTAATTTTAATTCTGACAGCAACAAAATGCTCTAGTACTGATTACAGTATACTTTAAGTATTTACTATCCTTAAATTGAATACTGAACTCTGGCTACTAACAAGAGACTATGGTTTCCACAGTTTATTCAATAAGCAGTAAATGACTGCCAGTAATTCACAATACCATTTGTTATGAAAAGGGATCCCAGTGTTTTAAGTATGTCAGTGTACCTGGGAAAATACCAAATGCTTACTTATATGTTTAAAATCTTATCATTGGGCTCACTCACTCACTCACTCTCTCACTCTCACTCACTCTCTCACTCACTCTCATTCACTGACTCACTCACTCTCTCACTCACTCTCATTCACTGACTCATTCACTCTCATTCACTGACTCACTCACTCACTCACTCACTGTCATTCATTCACTCACTCTCTCACTCACTCACTCACGTTCATTCACTGACTCACTCTAATTCACTCACTCTCATTCACTCACTCATTCTCTCACTCTCACTCACTCTCATTCACTCACTCACACTCACACTCACTCACTTACTCACTCTCATTCACTGACTCACTCACTCACTCTCACTCACTTACTCACTCTCATTCACTGACTCACTCACTCACTCTCACTCACTCTCACTCACTTACTCACTCTCATTCACTGACTCACTCACTCACTCACTCACTCTCATTCACTGACTCACTCACTCACTCTCATTCACTGACTCACTCACTCACTCTCACTCACTCTCACTCACTCTCTCACTCACTCACTCTCTAAAAGAAAAAAAAAATCTGATCATTGTACTCCAAATACTGTATAAGAGAAAAGTTTGATAATATAAACATTTCCATAAGTTACTTTACACATTTGATACATTTTTAAGAAAACTTTTTTAAAATTTTATAGAAGAAAATCTCTTTGCAAGACTACTAAATGGACCTCCAGTTTACCAGTTTTCTAAATGTTGGGTCTTGTCTATATAATCTATATCAACTTGCTTAAAATAAAACACACCAAAGATGGTAAGACTATAAAAACTGGACTTTCACAACCAGAGGTCAGTTTCAGAAGTGAGTACAAGCAATACAGATTGCGGTTATTAAGTGCCAAAGGCATGATGCTTGGAGTCAGGAAAACATCTAGATCAGATGTCTCAGATAAACTTAGCGTTATATGAACTTAGCATAGCCTAAGTATAGTTAGGACAGGAACTGGCAGAGGAGAAACTGTCACAAAGACTCCCCAAAAAAGAAATGCTATGTTCACGTTGGAGTACCCTGAAGTCTAAGCAATGTAAACAAATTGTATGAAAGAGGAAATAAAAGGCTCTGAAGAGCCCTGGTGGTGTAGTTAAGGTGTAATCCACATGGTCAGCAGTTCGAAACCACCAGCAGCTCCTCGGGAGAAAGACTGGGCTTTCTACTCCCATAAAGTTATTGTCTCAAAACCCTGCAGGGTTTCGCTATGAGTTAGCACTGACTTGATGGCAGTGAGTTTGGTTTTAGGAGCTTTTTAACCATGCGAATACTTGATGAAAATGGTATTTGAGAACTGTTTCAACAATTTGTTCTTAACTACGGGATCAGCAGGATACAAAATAAATAAAACAAGAAAAGTATATTATCTTCATTAAAAAAAATCAATGCCACAGATCACATTTTCTTTATCATCTATTTAGAAACAGGAGAGCTGATGTGTTAATATTCAAATAAGCAGCTAAAGGAAAGAGTTGAAAACATCACATTGTAGCCAATTAATTAATGGCACAATCTGCCCTAAACTCCCTTTTCTAAAAAGTACTAGGAAAGGTCATACGGTTTACAGGTAAGGGGCATTTCTAAGGGGAAGAATCAAAAAACAAAATGAAAGTTAGAAGTTACCTGACTCCAAACTGCCAGTTCATAAAGATCAATGGCTATACCAAGAGACCACAGAAAACTACTTCCCATCCTTCAAAATATGTGGCTGCAAACTTTTGAATAAAATTAAATTAATTTTTTTTTAAATGTAATCACCACCCTAAATTAGTAACCCAAATACTCACCATATTGTTAACATTCTTTAGGATAGTGGTGAGGCCGCTTATAACCAAAGAAAACTTGTATTTGGAAATATTGATAAGACATTCCTTGTTGTGTTCGGTACTGACTTTGGTATGTGTGTTCTGCTGTCCTGTTTTTATTGGAAGCTAAGGAACAAACAAACAAACAATTAGGAACTTACACTTGACAGTGACTTAAAAAACCGATTGCTCACTGAAAATAATGACACCTCTTTTCAGGAAAATTTTACCAACTACAGTTACCTTTTTATTATATTATGCTTAAATTTTTAACACATAACCCATCAAAAAAGCCATTCGATCAAGCTGACTCTGGCTCAGCAATTCTACAAGACAGAAGAATTGGCCCACAGGGTTGCAAGATTTTACAATAGATCTTTACGGAAGCTGACTGCTACCATCTTTCTCTGACAGAACAGAAACTGAGTTCAAACTACCAGCCTTTGGCTAACAGCTGAGTGCTTTAACCCTGTAACGCCTGAATGTTTAATTTCAGGAAACAAATGCTTTTTTTAAAAAAAAAAATTTTTTTTGTTTTTATTCTTTACTTTGATATTTATCTATATATATTAATATATACATTTAATTAAATGTTATGAAAATGTCACGCTCAGCGTTATAGGGTTAACTGCTGTGCTACCAGGGATCCCCTTTTCAACATATTTCTATCAAATCAAGATTCTTTGGACACTACTTTCTGCTGTTTTCTTTCTGGAAGTTATAAATCTCTGTATACAATTAAATCCTTTAGCTAGTACTCTACAAGGAAAAATGATAAGCCGCAGGGTTAGAGCTACTTCCTAGTAGCTAAAAATTATTTCAAAGAATGTCAGCAATTAAATGAATACAATCCATTCCATGTACATTGAACTCAAGCAATAAAAGAAAGAAAGATAGAAAATCTATGCCTCTAACCTCTGGCCAATAATGGCACAACTGTAGATTATGAGAAATGAGAACGGTCTAATCTGAAACGAACACAGCAAGACTGACTCAGGTAAGATAACCACCCTCATTTACACAACTGAGAGAGTAACAGAACAACAAATAATTGTCTCAGGAGAAAAAAAATGTCCTTGGAGAGGACTACTTTTACATTTACCTGAGTATGAGTGTAAGTCACACTGTAGAGAAATTAACCTCCACTCTATTCAAAGTAGCATTCTGTTTTTAAAACAAAATACAGGTTCTTTGCCTTTGGATTTTAGATTCTATTACGGCTAACACATCCTGGTGAGGTTCCTCTGTAGGAACAAGCAAGCAAACCCTACTCCAACCTTCTCATTTTTAAAATGGATTGGCTAACAGTGCAAAGAAGCTAATGGCTTATCCAAATTGGCTTAATCAGTTAATAATATGTGGCTAATTTGATAATAAGTAAAAATTAATGGAAAGAGGGACATATTCTGGATTTGGGGAAGAGGCAGAAGAGAAGCTACAAACGTACATGATGTGAATCATAAATATTACGGGAGAAAAGTAACTAAAATACAAAAAAAAGTTGGGGAGATTTTAGAAGATGGCAGTGGCTGCAAAAAGGTTTTAAATCTTTCAAAGCCACCCAAAGAAACTAGACTAGGAAAACCACAAACCCACAGACAGTAACTGCACTGAAACTAGGGAACAAAGCACCCCACAAACCCTAAAATACAAGCAAATGGGAACAAACCACCACCAGCTAAAATACTGACGTGGTATCACTATCTAGGTAAGAGAAAGACTGAAAGAAGACGAACCCAAAAGGAAGAGAACCTCAAAATTGCAGTATATACTCAGTAAAAGACATAAAAACAAAAACAACCAGGTGGGGAATTTCTCACTCCAATTTGCAGATGAATATTTTGAAAGGTCTACATCAAAGTTAGAAAGAAATGAACCCTCTCAACTGTGACCAGCGACACACAGAACTCTGCAGTGGTGGGACGGCTACAAGCGTCTACAATGTCAGTGGAGATCGGAGACAAATGTCTTTATTTAAAATTTTACCTTTGAAGAGCTAAACTGATAGATCGCAAGGTTCTAAACCTTGCACCTTTCCAGGATGAACCTCATACTGAGAAGAAACTGAGGAAACGTAACAGCAAAGGGCCTAGCACAGTGACAAGAGGAGCAGAGGGGAAAGTTAGGATAAAGGCAGTAGAAAGGAAGAAGGTCAAGAGTTAGAAAAGGATGTATACTTTGCAAAATTTCACGAAAATAGTGCTGGAAATGTACTCTGGCCCACATTTCTCTCCTTCTGCTTCATGAAAATCGCTTTCATTTTAAAATGTGCAACAGAAAAGAACTACATTCAAATCACATATAAACTTAGATAAGAAAAAAAAGAGGACGGGGAAGGCGTGAGGAAAAAATGAGCGGACACCAAGGGCTCAAGTAGAAAGAAAATGTTTTGAGAATGATGATGGCAACAAATGTACAAATGTGCTTGACACAGTGGATGGATGGATGGATGGATGGATGGATGGATGGTGATAAGAGTTGAACAAGCCCCCAATAAAATTACTTTTTTAAATGATGAGTAAAAAAACAAAGAAAATAGTCTAAAATGGATTGTAGTAATGAACATTCAACTCTTTTTAATGTGACTGAACTATTGAATTGTATGATATATGAATTATATACCAATAAAACTTAAAAAGAACAAAAATAATAGAAAAAGAAACAAAAAAATAAAGAGAGAAGATGCAGAATAACATTACAACAGAAAATGAAAGCATGCAAAAATACATGCTCATAAATACATGAAACAGTACACCATTATTTCAAAATGCTTAAAATCATACAAAATATAAAATAATAATTAATAACAGAATGAGTCTAACTCTTTCTTGTTATGGGTAAAATTTGGAAATAATTAAGAAATAAAAATAAGCTTACAGAGAGGTCTGAGGGGCCGGCTCCAATCCCAACTACGTGGACAGCTGCCCCTCCACACAGAAGAATTTGCTTCAGAGGGCAGCACTGAAGCTACAGCTCAGGCAGAGGGACATGTCTGATCAGAGCACCCGGGAGCAAATGAAGGGGGAGGAAGAGAGTGAAGCACGTCCTGGTCTTCCAAGGCTTGACGATGATATTCCCACTCAAGGCACCAATCCACAGAGAGGACCACATGGCCGGCCCCACTATGAGACACAATATCCCTCACTGATCCAAAGCCCTACAGGGGACAACACTGGAGATACAGTGTGGGAATTGCGCCTGATCTAATCCCACCACACCAAGGCAAAACACTAAGGGCGTGCAACAGAACAGCAAGGGGAACAGAGCAAGGAAGTCCCTAAAGAATATCAAAAATAGACTTTGCGGCAAAGGCATGGCACCCCATCAGACTCGACCAGAAAACACTCCTAAAGGCCAACAAACAGTCCTTGATATAACTACAAGCTTTTCTTTTTAGTTGTTGTTGTGTTGTGATTTTATTTTGTTTTACCATTGGCTTTTTGTTGTTGTTTTGTTTTCTTTTGTTGCTTGGTTTTGCTCTGTTTTGTTTTTGTGCATGTAATTATCTCCGCAGGTCTGTCCAAATAAGATAGGCTGGATGAACAATCTGGAGGAGAAAACAATGGGAGCGACAGTTCCAGGGGGACATGGGAGGTGGGAGGTAGGGGGAAAGGTTAACAAACCCAGGGACAAGGGAAAACAAGTGCTCCAAATCAGTGGTGAGGATGGTGTAGGAGGCCTGGTAGGGCGTGATCAAGGGTAATGTAACCAAGAGGAATTACTGAAACCCAAATGAAGACTGTGCATGATAGTGGGACAAGAGGAAAGTGAAAGGAAATAGAGGAAAGAGCTAGGTGGCAAAGGGCATTTATACAGGTCTAAGTAAAGGCATGTACATACGTAAATATATTTATATATGAGGATGGAAAAATAGATTTATGTGCATATATTTATAGGTTTAGTACTAAAGTAGCAGATGGACATTGGGCATCCACTCAAGTACTCCCTCAATGCAATACTTTGTTCTATTAAACTGGCATTCCATGATGCTCACCTTCCCGACATGATC